TGGGGTTGCGATACCCTCCCACCAAACATGGAACCTGGCGAGAAGGGGTTCCGATTGAAAGGAAAAATGGGCCGACACCAGGACCCCAAAACGTCCGCCCGTTAAGTTGGTGTTTTGAGGGTCCAGGTGCCTCAAACTTGGATGCCTGGTGCTAGTTTCAGGGTCTATCCCCTCCAAATGCCCCGTTTTAGGGTCTCATAGTCGACCCTCTACTAAAAGAGGAGGTATTCTACCCGTAAATCATACCCACAAACAAAGTACAAATCATACCCAAGACAAAGCGGGTATTGTGTTTACCTGCACCCTCAAAATTCCCATAAACATGTAGTTTGGGGTCGAGGCATGGGGTAAATCAAGAGTTTGACAGGGAGCCCTTACTCAAAGAACGGAGGCCATCCCCCGCAGACTCGGATCCGCTTCCTTCGATGGCCAGCAGAAATGGCGGGGCGGCCAATTCCTTGCTGACAAGAAATTTGAGGATGGGGTGTATCAAATTCCATATACCCGGACCCTCAAACCACCCATAAGAAAGTTGGAATTCATCCCATGTGTTTGGGTTGCAATAGCTCATTTCTAAGGGTAGTTTGAGGCTCCAGTTCAACCTTACCATGCGAACAGAACCAGTCAATGACATGTTTCAAAGAACATGTTTGCTTCCTAGCGTGGACCCCGAATGAATCAACCTGTTTTGTTTTGTTATGTTGTTGATTCTTCTCTTTTTGTTTTTTTTCTTTTTCTGGGGGTGCCCTATTTAAGTAAGGAACACTTACATGTACCATAACAAAGAAAACAAAACCGCAAACCACCCAAATATCTTCACCTGAAGCTGAAATGGGTGCGGCTCACAAGTGCCCCAAAATTGATTTCGGTTTTCCTTGTGCGTTTCCTTTAAAGCCAGAAGGGGTATACCTGGAATCTCAATATCCCAACTTAAGGTTATTGCAGCAAGGTTGTTGGTGTACCGTTCAGGTTTTGGGTCTTGCGAAGGAAACTTGGTCGCCCTGCTCGCTCGCATGTAGCGTTTTTCGTCGGGTTTTCCGGCATAGCGAAGGGGAACACGCACGCTTGGGTTTTTTGGGTGTGGGACCTGTTGTTGTTTTTTTGGCAAAACATCACCTGTGCCACAATCAAACCCCGGGGATTGATGAAGGTTAGTAAGGGCCAATCTCGGTCATACATAGCTGCGGATATCCGCCTTCTTAATTCTTGAAGCATGGTTCTGGTTCACCATTTTAATACCGGGTTTTGATTGTGGCTCACCTGGACTTCTCGGGTTAACAATGGCTTCCCTGCACGGGGCATAAAACCCAGCTTAGCCAGTGGAACCCATCTATTCATGGCCCAGACAAACCGATCAACAAAAGGAAAACCAACAAACAAAAGTCAGGAAAGAACCACAAAAAAACAAAACAACTATCCTGGGGTTCAAGCCACCATTAAACCAGCGGCGACCAAACCAGGTTGGATATGCTTTGCATGCTTTCGGAGGCTCCGCAGATCTGCGCGGGTACTTGTTGAACACGCCTTCTTCCATTGGCTGCCCGGTTTTGGTTTTTTGAACTTACCTAGATCGCCAAGTTGCGATTTTTTTTGTTCAGTCACTGTTGCGATCGGTGGGGTTTTGAGTGCATGGGAAAAAAAGAACCATCGCAACTGGCGATCCAGGTCGCTCTTTTGGGTTGAAGAGGGTGGATCTTCCCCCTACTCCAAATGAGCCGCAATCAAAACCCGGGTAGATGAAAGTTAGCAAGGGACAATCCCAACCATAAATAGCTGCGGCCGCCTTCTTAATTCTTTACATGGTTCTGGGTGGACCATTTTAATACCAGGTGTTGATAATGACTCAAATACCATCTTTTTTCAGGGTATCATGTCGACCCTCTACTAAAAAAGGGATCGGTACTTACTTCTGGACAACCGAACGGTTTTGCCCAAAAAAAAAGCCCCTGAAAAAAGTCCGGGTATGTGGAGCTTACGGGGATCTGGTTTTCCTCCATGTTTTCCGGCTTCTCGGGGGCTGCTTTGGGTGCCCAAAGGTTCGTTTTTGTTTTTGTTTCCTAATCAGAGGCTCCAATTCGATTCATTTAGGGCCCTCAAACAGCCAGGTCACAAGGGCATGAAACATAAACGGGAAGATACGGGAAGATATGGGTCTGGCCTTGTGAGGGTACCCCTTCTCTTGTTCTACCCAGAGGCTCCAATTCGATTCATTTCGGGCTCTCATTAACCGCCAGGAGCCTTTGGGTAAAGCGAAACCAAGAAAAACTTTAGGCCATTTTCAGGGTTCCTGCTTGAGACCCCAAAATCGATTTTCTGAGAAAGCCATAGCGTGTGTCGCCGCTTCGCCAGTGGCTGGAAAGTGAAGCTGGCATTTTAGGGAGTCCCGGGTTGGTTGTCCAAGCGGGGGGTTCCATAAGGCTCACTTGGGTATGAGAAACTCGCCAAGTTAGTAAGTTGTTGGTAACCTATAACCCACTTAGCGTGCTTAAGCAACCCAGTCATTCGCGGGCTACCCAGGCTAACCACTTGCTGGTTCCTTTTTATGGAACCCGTGTCGAGAACCCGGTTTCGTAGCTCTCAACTACCTGAACCCTCCAAATTCCAACTTAAACCCCAAAGGTTCTGGCCAGAGTTTGAGGCTCCGATCTGTACGGGGCCCCCGATGGCACCAATCCCCCCGTGGGACTCCAAAAGTCGCCAAAGACGCACTCCGAGCACCTTCTGAGCGTATCCACCGGTCAGAAGCTAGAGCCGACCGGTTCCAAGCGGACCGGTTGAAAAGCAACACTTGTCTTTCCTCAACCCAGAACTGCCAACTCACATATCCTCTTTTTGATGTCTTCTTTTATAGCCAAGTTGCTTTTTTTTCGCTTTTTTCAGTCACTGTTGCGATCGTTTTTCTGGGGGGGGTTTTGGAGTGCATGAAAAAAAAGAACGATCGCAACTGGCGATCCAGGTTGCTTTTTGGCACATTCATTCAGACCTTGGAAGGTGCTGACTGGTGACTTTCAATCCATCGCTTCGTGAATTTCGCTCACCCAAACGGTGGTCGGCTTCTCAGGATTAACACTTTAAGGCAGTCACTCCGTGTGGGTCCGCTGAGATTTTAGAAGGGACCCACTCGCGGCATCCGAAGGTTACCTGGGGTCTCCCCAATGTCGACGAAGTCCTTCTGGTGGCTCGCCAATCAACTTGTTTTTTCTTTGCATCAAACACAAATGTTAAATCAATTCGAATCACCGACCTAGATAGCCAAGTTGCTGTTTGTTCAGTCAGACCTAGATGGCCAAGTTGCCGTTTGTTCAGTCAGACCTAGATAGCCAAGTTGATGTTTGTTCAGTCACGGTTGCTGTTTTTTGGGGCAAAGTGCATGGAAACAAACAGCAACTGGCGATCCAGGTTGTTGTTTCCCGTCAATCACTTAAACCTTATCAAATCGAATCAGGTTGTTTGGGACACCGAAAAGACTTGGTGGTCAACCGGGCACCTGGAGTCTCCATGACCCTTTTAACATGGGGTCACTACCCAAAAATTGCGGGGTCATGCCCTTTTTCTATTGGTCAGAACTGGGCAGGAGCTTAAGGGCAATGTTGACCCCAAATTAATCAACCCCAGTGTATCAATAGGGGTGTGTTCCCTTCCAAAAGTGATGATTTCCCACTAAATCCAGGACACCCGCCCAATTGATACACTGGGGTTGATTAATATGGGGTCAACATTAACTCGGAAACAACGGCGGGCCAAGCCAGAGCTCTCAATGCAACCTTTGGAGGAGACAGCCTGAATCGAACGATCGATGGCCTATTCGTTTAACCCTGGATAGCCAAGTTGCGATCGTTTTTGGCCATCCACTGACTGAAACAAACAGCAACTTGGCGATCCAGGACCTTTTTTGCTCCTTTTCCCCGCGAGCGATCCATTCCGAGCTTCGAAAAAAGGAACCTGGAGTCTCCGGTCATTTGATGCTAACTCCCTGCAAGAGATTCAAGTTGACTAGTGGTTGTGAGAAGACGGTGTTTGCTGCTGCTTAGACGAGCGTCGTTTGTCAATTTGTGGCTTGCAATGGCAGCGAACGGCTATTGAGTTGTTTTTTGGGCTTGAAGGCAGAAGCTCTATTTGCATGCCTTGGGTGCGTTATGCTGCTCCCTGTTGAGTGGACCACTTTATGACCCCCGGAAAAAGGGGTGACCGTACTGTTGGGCTAGTCTGACCAACCATTTTTCAAGGGTCCTTAGGGAGACTCCAGGAAGGTCTGAGCGGAGGTTGGGTCAAGCGTGTTCGGGGCTTGCGTCCGCCATGAAGGACACCCACTGCAGTTGCTGCTGTTTAACCGCAGGACATGTTCATCCCAGATATTTTCGAGGTATGTTTCCAAAACAGCCAGGTTTTCAGACCCCCCGTGCCCAATGGAGGGGCCTCTTGAATCACTTGAATGCCTGGTACCTGGTAGTAATGTCCTGGATCGATCCAGTTGCGATCGTTTTTTTTTCCATGCATTTTGCCCCAAAAACCGATCGCAACAGTGACTGAAAGAAGCGATCGCAACTTGGCTATCTAGGTGGACCCATTTTTAACGGGTCAGAAGGAGACTCCAGGTTGGACAAAAATATGCAATTCCGTAGTTGAAAATTTGGCATTTTCGGCCAGTTTTTAAGTTGGTGTTTTGAGGGTCGTTTGGTTGCAACCCGAAATTATGGACTTGGTGAATCCCTTCTTGTTGATGGGTGGTTTTTTTCGAGTCCAGGCGATTGGCTTCTTCAGTTCAGGGCCTCTTCTCTCTCTCTCTCTCTCTCGCTCTCTCCCTCTCTCTCTCTCTCTCTCGCTCTCTCTCTCTCTCTCTCTCTCTCTCTCTCTCTCTCTTTCTCTCTCAACTGAGCCCGAAGCAAGCCGAGACCTTCGGTTTTTTCCACCCCCCCTCCCGGAAGTTTCCGAATCCACGTTGCCTCTAGGCTTTCCCAGAAAGGCACAACAACAGAAATCGGTTCGACGTCGAATCCAAGGTGATAGCACTAGCCCTGGCTCGCCCACCGCGCGGGCCCGAGCCGGAGACCCGAATTCGAGATTTCCGGATTCAAATTCCACCTGGGATTGGGCTGATTGTCTTCCATTGGCCAACAAGATTTGTTTACTAAAACCCCTGTTGGTTTTAAAAGCAATCTATCACTGAAGAAAGAAAAACATCAGGGGACTTCAGCAAATGGATGTAGTTTGTCATTTGCTCAGGACACCCCAAGGGGGTGTACTTTTTCGCGTTTTTCCCGACCCCCGCGGCCCCGCGGTGCTTCTCCGCTTTCTCCTTTTTGGCGAGAGTGCCAATTCCCAGATCCCAGTTACCACTATAGTAGGGTTTCTGGCCTCTAGGCTTTGCATCATGGTTTTTGTTGGGTACCTACACGTAATTGGATCTGTGAGCTGCTTGTTTCATGGAATCTTCCCTGTGCACACTAGAAAATGGAAAATGGAAAATCTACCTACTCTGCTGGAAAATGGATCTGGGAATTATTGATTTCATGGAAATCTGCCCCGTACACTATACCCACGTTTTTCAGAGTGTCAGGTCAACCCCGGATCGTTGTATTTTCCCTGGAAATCCGATCGTTCTTCCCCAAAAAACACACCAGCTGCAAAAAGGGCCGCGTAGTGGAGCTGCCTGGATCGCCAGTTGCTGCTTTTTTCCATACACTTTACCTCAAGAGCCAGCAGCAGTGACTGAAAAAGCAGCAACTTGGCTATCTAGGTAACTGCAACAACTTTTTTTTTGAGACACAGTCTGGATTCGGCACCCCCAACGCTCGCTTAGGACAGCCTTTATCCGGAGGACTGGGGCGTGCAGATCGGCGAAGGCCGGAGATGAACCGGTGCTTCGAAGCCAAAGCAGCCAACCTCTAACGTTGACCCAGGATTAATAGACCCGTCCCATTACTAGGGGGTGTTCCCTCCAAAAGTGGTCTGAGTCCCCACTAAAAGGATACACACCCCGATCTTGATCAACCAGGGGTTTCTTCATCCGGGGTTAACTTTACCTGAACCCTGAACCCTTTTAAAAATGGTTGGTCAGACTAACCCAAAATTAAGATTCGGGTCATGACCCCTTGAAAGCCGGAGTCCCAGACTTCAACAGGTCCAACACCATTTGCGGATCCACGCAATTTACCACTCAGTTGTTGAAGAAATGTGGGATATTGTGTGTAGGGGCTCCATTTCGGTTCGATCGGTTCTTCCAAACTGGTGTTCATTTCTGAACAAAGATCTGGGTTCTCTATGGGGCCGTACTCTGGATGGTGGCGAAATCCGCTTCTCGCGCCACCGTTCAGACACCCAACGAAAATTATTCGATTCCCCCTACAAATACCAACGAACGCTGTGGTTGCAACCATGGTTTCATTTCGTGGTGCGACTGGATTCCGTCCATCCACAGTATATAGGGGCTGTGCTTTGGAGGACATGACCCTTAGGCCCGAAAAAATGGGCTTCGTAAACTAAGAGCTTTACGTACTAAAAGTGGCGCAAAGGAAACCAAAAGGCTTAAATCGGTTTTCAGTTGTGCAACTTGGAAAACCGAGCGCTTTTCCCCAAAAATAGTAAACTAAAGACAGAGGGTATGCGGAAACCGCTTACCTTTGGTAGGCGTGTCCAGGTATTTGACCCTAGACACAGAGGGTAATTCATACCTGGACCCTCAAACTATCCATATAAGGAAGGAATTCGCACCACGTTTGGTGGGAAAAACATAGGACATCTATCCCCTACGCCAAATACCATTTGTTTACTGTATTTTTTGGGACATCTGGATTCCAGGAAAACCGATCCCTTTCGAGTATTTCATGTATGCGCAGGGGGTATGACTGGAAGTATGTTCTCATTTGTTCCAGACCAAAAAAGAACGCTGCAGGAGGGACCATTGTCCACAAGCCGCCCTTTGTTCTTCTGGGTGTTGTGCATGCGTTTGTCTTTTTTAGGGGACCCCCGATTTCCCATCGAAAAAGGGTACCTATGCCCCAAACAAATTGGTGAGTCCTATAGCCAAGTTGCGATCGCTTTTTGCAGACACTGTTTCGATCGGTTTTTGGGGTAAAGTGGATGGATAAAAAGCGATCACCACTGGCGATCCAGGTTGCTCGAAATTCTGGTTGGTGCATTGGGAGCCTTTTACAAGCACCCTCGGGCTGCAACTCAACCTTTAAGGCAGCAGGGAAGTTTGATAAAAAGGCACAGATTTGGCTAGTTTGATTCAGCCACAGATTTCTTGGCTAGGTCCCCCAGCAATTGGTGCCCTTTTACCGTTCCTTTTTGGGGGGAGGGGTCCCCTACTAAAATATACTAAAATAGACTACAGAACAAAAATCGGGTACCGTAAACCCCAACCTGTCCGCTGGAGGACCTAGTTGGGGAACGGCTCCAACCCCAAGCACAACCAACGGGTCCCCAACCCCACCCTGAGGCTGGCTTGCTCAGCAGCCGGCTGTGCAGCTGGCTCCCCTCTTCGGGCCCTCGCCCGACTAGGCTGGCAGGGGGGGATTTCAGGCGATCCATTGGCACCTGGAGCCTCCTTCTGACCCCTAGAAAAGGGGGGTCATGACCCTTTAATTCTGGGTAATGACCCTTTAATTCTGGGTAATGACCCCAATTTTTACGGGTCATGGAGACTCCAGGTACTCCAAATTTGTGTTTGCGACTGTTTTGGAAGGTACCTGGGCCCTCAAAAAGCCAACTTAAAAGTGGGGGATTGCAACCCAACATGTTGGTTTGTGAAGTCCAACTTGTTCAACTTTGGGTAGGTTGAGGGTCCAAGTATCCCCTGGCCAAAAGGAAACCCACCAATTGTTTGTGGTTGCCCCGTAAGAAGTGGCAAGCCCCAATACTCTAAGGTTTCTCGGTGCACTTAAAAGGACATGTTGTCCAAGTCAAATACCGTGTTTAAGTCATATATACCCTGGCACTTGACACTACAGTTTTCGACTTTTAGAAGGGATCGAAGGGAACAGTTTAAAAAAGGAACACCCCGGACCCTCAAAATACCCTTACCCTGGGGCTCAACCCTCGTTAAACGAATGGTTGACCCAATCCGGATGACAATCCTAAGAAAGCCGTGGTTGCTTAGGGACCCCGGTGAATTAAAGCGGTGGTTCGACCCCCGGGGCTTAAACATGATTTGCAACCCATTGGTGAAATCTCCCCGTTTTTCAAGTTGAGACATGTCTTTCGGGTCCAGGCCCATTTTTTGTCTTCCTCGATAGCCAAGTTGCGATCGCTTTTTTCAGCCACTGGTGTGATCGGTGGTTGGGGTAAAGTGCATGGAAGAAAGCGATCACTGGCGATGCAGGCATTTTTAAGTTGGGAAATCCTTCGGGTCCAGGCCCACTTTCTTTCTTTCTTTCATTATTTCTGTCATTGTTTTTTTTTTTTTTTTTTTCTTTCTTTTTCTTTCTTTTTCTTTCTTTTTCTTTCTTTCTTTCTCAGGCGCAGCTGAGGGCGCCAGCACGTCAGCGTGGAAAAAGCCTTGGGTGCTGCTGCGCGGCGGGGTTTATGGCTGCGAGCCAGGGTGGTTTGGGTTAGCTTCCACTTCCATGGGGGGCTGCTGTCCAGAGAAGTTCGGGTTTAGGGTACAACTGGTTTCTCTAGTTCTAGGGGTAGCTTCCATTTCCATTCTTTCCGAAGATCCGGATCTTGCCAGAACGCCACCCAAAAACCCCTGCAGGAAACGGATATTGAAAAGAACCATGGTTGGACCAGGAATCAACCCCTAGGGTGGTTTGGGCATGAACCGATTTTTTATATATATTTTTTTGGGGGGGGGGCGGGGTCTGGCAGCTGGGCGCCGTGCAGCAAGAGGTGAAAGCAGCCACGTAGAAATCGCCAAGTTGCGATCGCTTTTTCTGTCAATGTTGCGATCGGTTTTTGTGACGGGGAAAATGGTTGTTTGATGAACCACCCGAACGAAGGAAATAAAGAAAGAATTGGCCTTTGAAAGGGCCCTAGGCAGGGAATGACGGAATGACCGAGTCAGGGTGGTCTGGGCATGAACCGGTTTTGGGACCTCAACGGAAGCCACAAGAAAATGGTTACACCTGGATCGCCAGTTTTTTTTTTTTTCCCTATCCACGTTCAAAAACCAGTAACAGTGACTGAAAAAGACAGCAACTTGGCTATCCAGGCAGGGGATATTCCCTCATTCCTTGCTGACCAGCAACCTTAACCCCAACCTAATGACTCTGTTGATTTGTTGGGCCAAAAAAAAGAATCCGGGCCCCGCGGGGTACAACAAACTGCCAGATTCCGGTTTTCGCACCTAACCTGTGTTTGCTTGACTAACCTGTGTTTGATTGACCCGAACCCGGTTTATTGTTTGACCCCATATTTGTGTCTAACCCAACCCCAAGCAACAATATAAGGCCCCCCCCCCCCTGTAATCATGCCTGAATCTGGCTACACAGCCAGTCTGATTGCTTAGGCCTTCCCCTACTCCAAACACCCGCTTTCTTCGGGTATGATGTCGACCCTTTACTCAAAATGGATCGGTTTTTCTCCTGGAAAACCGAACGGTTTTCGACAAACGGATACCCTTAAAATTGGCCGGTCTTTGGAGCTTACGGGGGTTGTGGATCACACCCAACCCAGCCTTTGTGTTGTTGGTGCGATGCTTGCCCTTGAAGTTTGGATGATACCCGTTAGGTTCTTCAAACTCTACCGAGCAATGACCGGTAATGCCAGTGCCGGGGCAATATTGCAACCCAAAACTCCGATTGGCGAATTCCAGCTTTTTAGTACCTGCACCCTCAAAGTATCCATACATAATGGATTTCACCAACCATAATTTTGGGTTGCAACTCACCCCATGTTTTGAGGCAGGGAATTTTGAGGCCTGGACCCCCCGCAAGCTCCAAATATCAAAGGCCTTTCTTAGGGATATTTTACGGAAAACCGATCGGTTTTCCAACTTGCGAATTCCGATCCCTTTTTTCGCCAACTAACATTCCCTGAAAAAAGTGGGGAAGCCTACGAGGGAAGGATTCGTTTTTGTTATTCTTCTTTTTTTCTTCTGCTAGACACCATCTAACACCCCCAGTTCCGATCCAAGTGATTGCAAAAGGGGCAGGGTGTCCCATGTCGCGGACTCCCTTGAGTTTTTGGGGTGTCTTCACACGCCCCGGTTCGTCAGTACTCTGCTCGGGGACCCCGAAACCCAAGGGCAGAATTGCTGGTGCTGAGAACTTCTTCACTGTTGGCACCTGGAGTCTCCTTCTGACCCCTAGAAAAAGGGGTCATGAGCCCGCATGGCCCCATTTTTAAAGGGTCAGAAGGAGACTCCAGGCATGTCTTTTTGTGGTTCTATTCCTTGCTAGGTGTAGGGTTTGGCAGGAGTCTCCTTCTGACCCCTATGCCCTAGAGAAAGGGGTCACCCAGGAACTGGATGGTGAGCCACCGCTTGGTTTTTGTGAACCATTTCGAGCAATGTCTGTAGAACCCAACAATCTGAGACAGCAAAGGTTGCTCAAGCCTGTGCCTTTGATCCATCCAGATCAGGTCTGGGTAATCCAACAAGGTGATCACCTTTACTTCTAGGTCCCTAAGGGGCAACTGAGTTAAAGGATACCCCTTGCTCCAACTACCCCTTGTTTCTAGATGGTATTGTTTGGAAAGCCCGGGTTTTCCAATGTAACTACCGATCCCTTTTTGAGTAGAGGGTTGACATGATACCCTTCGAAAAGCACTCTTTTTTTGGAGTAGGACCATTTGAGTCAGCTAGAACTCGACTTTTGGCTTAGCGGAAAATTCTCGTAATGGGAGGTGCGATGGATTCGCCCAGTAAGTTGTCGACAGCCTGGGTTGCAACCCACGACCAAAAGCCCCCGTTCAGTGGCGAGGACCCTGGGAATGGTAACCCCGGATTAAGCAGAACCCCTGGTTGATTTTCATCGGGGGGTGTCCCGTTTTAGTGGGGATTCATATCCCTTTTGGAGGGACCCCCCCCGATGAAAATCAACCAGGGGTTTATTAATCCGGGGTCAACATTACTTGTGGACTAGAACCCAGGGGGCTAAGGACCTGGACCCAGGGGTTTCCACTCATAATTTCAGGTCCATTTTTCAGGGTGCCTGGAGTCTCCCTAAGGACCCTTGAAAAATGGTTGGTCAGACTCCCCAAAATTTACATTCGGGGCATGACCCCTTTTTCTAGGGGTCAGAAGGAGACTCCAGGTAGTTTGAGGGTCCAACAACTTACTATCTCGGCGAAACGAACATCCAACTAGGTCCCCCCAGCTAGGTGCCCTTATACCGTTTCTTTTTTGGGGGAGGGTTCCCCTACACAGAAAAAAAACTCGGGCACCCTTATTCTATCCTCTCTACTGGACCCAGCCAAGTATCCTGCCACTCTGCGCAGCAAGCCAGGCCCAGCCCGCAGCCAGGCGATGAGAAGCGTGTCGTTTTTTGTTTTTTTTCTCCGCGCCGGGCGGTTGGGATTTTTGCCGGGGACAAGGGAGCCGATGCCATGTGAATCGGCAGAAAACGCCATGCCTGGATCGCCAGCAGTTTGCTGAGGCATTTGCTCCCCTGAGTTCATGAACTTGAACAACTTGGGAAGACAATTTTAGCAAACAAAAAGTTTGGACTTTGTCTGGCCAATCCATTCAGGCAGTGAGGATGTAGGCTCTTTAGGGATCCGATTTCATTTTTCAGGTCTCGAAAATCGCAGATATACATCACGACGCGCAGATATATTGACACATCGTCTCTGGGTATGGGTTTGTTTCAACACACCTCCCTGCGGCTCCCCCTTTCTCCGACACAACCATATTCACAATGTTGACCCCGGATTAATAAACCCCTGTTTATTAATATGGGGGTGTCCCTGGTTTTAGTGGGCCCTATTAATCAACAGGGGTTAAAAAAAAATCCGGGGGTCCAACCACCCGCTTTCTAAAGGGTATCGTGTCAAGCCGCTGAAAAAGGAAGCGGTGCTCTTGCCCTGCAAGACGCAATGGTTTCCAGACTGCCCCAAAGTAAGACATGGGGCAATTCACCCCTGTTGCTAGGGGTCATGAGACTCCAGCTAGTTCTTACAAGCGAGAAAAAAACCATGGTTTTCCAAAGACCAGCACAAAATGAGGATATTTGGAGTTTACGGGGTACTGGACAAGTGGAATAGAAGGCTTCGCATCATCGGACCCAAGCCGGTTTCGCCATCGGCCCCTCCAAAGCCAACTTTTGTGGGGGACAGGCTCCCCCCAAAAAAATAGACACAACCACCTGAACCCCAAAAATGCCAACTTAAACACGTGTCATTGCCAATCAAACTTCTGGCAACTTGTTTATGGGTACCTGGACCCTCAAACTACCCACAAGAATTGGTGATTTCCAACTTGTTGATGGGTACCTGGACCCTCAAACTACCCACAAGAATGGGAATTCACACCATATTTTTGGGGACAATAACCAAGTTTTAAGTTCTTTCGGGTCGGATCGGCGTATTCATAGAGCGTGGCCTGGCTTTCGCCGTGGGTTCTGGGACTTCTCAAATTGAGCCAGCCTTTTGACGGCGAACATCGGTCGTTTTGTGACAGAGCCGCCAAATGCAGCTTTTGTTTTTCGCTTGTAAGAACTACCTGGAGTCTCCGGTCATGACCCATACAAACAGGGGTCAATTGCCCCATGTCTTACTTGGGGGAGTCTGACCAACCATGTTTGATTCGGGTCAGAAGGGGACTTCAGGTGGGAGTCTGAGTGCTGAAAGCTGGGGCCAGGGTGAGCTCTGAAGAGCAATCGAAGGCTGTCCGAATTCCGACCAATTCAGAGATGGAACAACTAGCCCCGCAACCACACAAGACCCACTTTTGTCAGAGTATGATGTCAATCACTGCTGGACATTATCATTTTCTTCCAGTGGACTTACGCAATGGAAGGAAAGGTGATGACCTTTTGTCTCTGCGGCTACGAGTTGGATGAAACCAGAAACCAACCGGGATTCCAGCTACCTAGGTCAGCCATTGTTCCTTGCTTTTACAGGCTGGCAAGCCTTTGGTTACAGCAGAGGATGGAATCACTGTGCAAGATAAAGCACCAGTCCCAACTTGCGAGTCGGATTTTGTCCTCCGTAAATGGATGTTCAACCTATGTCAGGTAAGTAGGTTATAACCATGGTTAGGGAACCAACCCCAGCTACCCTACTTATAAGCATCATAAACGCCTACTTACGAAGTGGGTTGAACAAGCAAGCAGAGATGTTTTGTTTGCGCGATGTGCAGAGGCTTTTACGGGCGTGTCGCTTTTTAGGGGCAAGATCAAATGGTGTTGTTTTTTGGTTTTCCGTTAACACAATACAAATACAATTGGATACCTGTACCCGCAGACTACGCATAAAAAATGGATTTTACCAACCATCATTTTGGTTGGAAATGCGCTATTGTTAAGTTGGCATTTCGAGGGTCCTTGCGTCACAATCAAAACCTCGTATTAAAATGGTCCACCCAGAATAAGAAAAAGCTGGGTACCTGGACCTCAAACTACCCTTACAAATTGGTTTTTGCAACCCACAAGTCTGGAGTGAGATCCCTTCTTTATGAGTAGTTTGAGGGTCCAGGTAGAGTGTTGCATCCTGTTTGACCAAATTTATTCAGTCGTTATGGAATTGTGCAAGGGGGTAGCTACAAGCGGGGTTCTTGGAGAGCCAGGTATGTCGAATGTCCAGCTACTCCATTTTTCTTATGGCACTTAGAGGGTCCAGGAGTCCAGGTAGCCTCAATCTAAGAAACTAGGAAGTTCTACAGGAAAAGCTGGATTTTGCTAGGATTTTGGAGCCAGTGTCCTGAAAAAAAATCCTGTGCCGCTTACCCCCCCCCTTCACCCCCCCTTCACCCCCCTCACCCGCCACCCCCCCCCAACCCCCCTTAGCTGCAGCCCTGAGACGATGTCTCTCGCCAGGCTTTGGGGGCGAGCTGCTGCGGTGGCTCTGTCATTGCTTTCTTCGGGTTTGGGTCGAGACGTCGCAGGGTTTCGGTCAGAGGGCATAGTGAGCAACCCAAAATCATGGACTTTTTGAATTTCAACCTGTTTTTATGGATAGTTTGAGGGTGCAGGTGGACATACGTGTCCTTTTTGGTGGTTTTGCTCTTGAAAAATAGAGGGCGATTCCTGGTTTACCTGGTAGTTTTCTTCTCATCTACCAGGGATATTCATCTATTTCCAACCTAAAAGGACACCTATGCCAGAGGGTTCCTTGCCAGAGCCATGACAAAAGCATGGCCTTGGACCCAATTCGGATGACATGCTAGTTTGGGTAAATGAACCCCGGGACAGTGTTTTAGTGGTGCAACTGCGGAGCGGGGGTCAAGGGGAACCCAAGGGAAAAATATTCCGTGCAACAGTGGTCTGAATCCCCACTAAAAGCGGACACCCCACATTAATCAAAAAAGCACCCAGATCGAGACCCGAATGAGCCCCCGTTCTTCGAGGTGTTCGATTCGCCAAGTTAGTGAGAGTTGTAACGGTAAGTGTTTGGTTGTAACTCCTACTTTTTTCAGCCTGCTCAAGTGGGAGTTAGTGGATTATATCCCGGTTGCGGCTGGCGTCGACCACTTACTAGCTTGGCCCAACATCCAAATACCCAAGATTCTGGTTGGTGCATTCCAACATGTTTTTTTTGACAACAAGACGGTAGTTCTTCGGGTTGGTGCATTCCAACTTTAAAAATAAATGGTAGTTCTTCGGGTTCAGGGGGGGATGGATGGGCCAACATGCCGTGGGTGTAACGTGTTCAAAGCAAACGATATAAGCGGACCCGCTGGATCCCATGCAAGCCACTAGAGTAGGGAGCCAGCCGCCCGCCATTCAGGCAGCTGACAATTTTCTAACTTAGGCAAACCGAAGATCCAAGTTCTTGGATGTTCGTTGACATCAGGCAAGTAGGCTGTAAGGGTAACTGGGGTTGGTTCCCTTTGGCTTCTGAATGGATCGGAGTCTCTTGCTCTCAGGGTCCCGGAGTTTCGTGACTCGGGCTGTGGCACAGGCTTTGGGTCCGGTTCCCAAGAAACCGAATCCAGGGAAGATCCTCGCTTTCTCTTCTTCAAATCCACTCATGATTGAAACCATCCCGACCGCAAGGAACAAGCCTGAACTTTGGGTCTCAAAGATGGACTCGACATCTTTGGATTCTTTAGAGTGTCCAGGACCCGCATCCCAGATGCGGACCCAGAAACATGATCCGATTGGCGTGGCCTGAGTCTCACAGGGACCCCATGTTGGTGGTAAGTTGCGTAGTTACATGCCTATTCTCTGGCGAGCTCTGTTTAAACGAGGTTGCTATGATGTGGGTCTGTCCTTTGTTCGGGGACCCCGAATGTTTTCTTCTTTTTGCGTTGGTTCCTTTTAAACCACCAAACAAAACAAAAAAATGGGTACCAACTCCGAACACAGACTCTCCGATTCTATGTCCTTTGATGCAATTATTGGTTTTGGTCCCCGATCTGAAGGTAGCCTGTGCTGTCTTCTTTCCCGCGCCTTGAGATTTTTCCCCAGAAAGCCTGGGCTTGAGAAGTGAAAAATGAGCACAAAGATCCCCCTCTTCATGTGTTGAGTTCCTAGATAGCCAAGTTGCCATCGCTTCTTTCAGTCACTGTTGCTGGTTTTGGGGGTAAAGTGCATGGAAAAAAAACAGCAACTGGCGATCCAGTTTTTGTTTTTTTGGCATAAGGCAAGTTGTTGTGATTTGTTCGGTTTCCCCTGCTATTGAGCGTAAGGGGAATCAATCACTGCATGACAAAGCTGGGGTTGATTCGGAGCTGTGCATGGTCATTTTGTCCACGACAGCCTTACTTCAAGCAGGGCCCTGTCAGATTTTTGTTCTACGAAGGTCTCTGTAGGGGGCCGTTGGCTCCGCAAGGGCGTTAAAGCTGATTGGTTTCCCCGCAAAATGGATGGGTGTCCCTATAGCTGTCCCGATAAACGCCCAAAAGGAACAGGGCTAATTACTGTCACAGAACCCGCCCGAAACCTCCCCCCCCCCCTCCGATAGACTGATGGGCGTGTTGGACGTTTGGCTCAAGGCGTTTAGCCGGCCCGAGCGCTCAAAGAAGACTACCTGGGGTCTCCTTCTGACCCTTTAAAAATGGTTGGTCAGACTACCCAAAGTTAAGAAATGGGTCATCACCCCTTTATCTAGGGGTTATGGAGACTCCAGGTATAACCCACAGAACGGGGACTTAAGCGTCATTGAACCCTGGAAGGGGTCGAACCTGGACCTCCATTGGACTGTGTTGGGCCTGAAATTGTGGGCCTTTCCGGAGTTTGCAGATTGAGTGGGTGGTTGCTGAACACTCTCCTAGTAAGGCTCCTGAAATTTGAGCACCAAGACATGAGCAGGGCGAATTGAACTTCCAGCTGGTTTACACCTGTACAAGTGGACACACCTAAGCACCGCCCTCATGATTCCAGCTGGTCTAAGTGATGGGCTAGTGCTCAGAAGGACCAAGACAGAACCCTAGGCATGAGGTTTTGGACCCTCCATTGAAGGGGGATTCGAACCACACCTCATTCACTCACTCCTGAGTTTCATTTCGGACTGGCACTTTTTGGGTCTGGAGTCTGGACCGACCTACCTGAACGCAAAATACATGTCCCTCAAAAATGGGCTACAGCCCCACAATGATGGTGAGTTCCAACTTCTTCTTCTTTCGCCTAGTTCTTTTGGGTCCGATCAGTGTCCGCTCGACGGGCAGTGAGTGCAACGGATTCCTGTTTTTTTTTGGCCCCTGTGATCCCCCGAGTTGCGCCGGGGGCTGTCGCCATGTTCCAAGCGGAGAAAGCCGCGGAGACGGAGTTCCGGGATGCCGAAGGGTACAACTTGGTGGGCGCTTGCTGCTCGCTGGACCGGCTCTGGGATAGGTAGGGAGTGACAAGGAGTCCGGGTTTGGGTTGAATGAACCGGCTTGGGAGTCCATGAAAGGAAACCATAGGGGATGGTTTGCAGGGGTCATTCCCTCATGCTGAGAACCAACAAGATAAGTTCTGTTGGACTGAACTTCACTTTTTGGCTCGGAAGACCATTTTGGTGGCAAATGAAAAGAGTCCACCCTCAAGCCTCAAACTACCCTGTACGAAAGGGAATTCACCCATAATCTGGGGCAGTGACCCATGTTTGAGGGAATTTTGAGGGTCCACGCTTCGATTTTTGGATCCAATCCAGTCGGTCGGAAGTGAGCACGTTTTGCCCAGGCAAAATCTGGGCAAGCCTATGGTGAACCCTCGGGAAGCACTGGAAATGAAGAATCACAGGCCCAGGTTGTTTAGGACTGGGGTCAATACAGTACCCCACATTTGTTTAGCCCGTTATAACAGGTTTTTTTTTTTAAATATAGGGGACTCCGCAAGTCTGGTGGCTGTCCTTTAGTGTCCCAACAAAAAAACCAACAAAAACACCAACAACCCCCCCCCCCTTGGGTTGTTTGAAGAACCTTTGTTGGTTTCCCGTCTTGATATCTTTGTTTGCAACCAGCCCACGCAGACCGGCCTTACAACCGCATGGTTGTACCCAGTGTTGTAGCCATGCTTACCATGTCTTGTTGCAACTGGTTTCTCTTCAGCAGGGCCATGGTACGACCTCTCAGTGCGAGAATTCAGAGGTTGAACACAGCACACCAAACAACCCAAAGCTCGGACGCATTTGGCTTGGACGCATTTGGCTTGGATGTTCGGTCAAGTTGGTAGGCGAATAGAATACACCCCACCATGACTGGGTTAAGCCTAAGGTGGCTAAGTGGGCTATAACCGAACAGTTGCTAGCAACCTACCTGGAGTCTTCTTCTGACCCCTAGAAAAAGAGGTCATGACCCCTGAATTTTGGGTAATGACCAACCATTTTCAAGGGTTATGGAGACTCCAGGTATATCCAACCCACTAGCTTGGTGAATTGCTCACAAGTGACCCAGATTCACCCCAGTTTAGGTCAACTTTGGATGTTATCTAGGTCCCCCAGTGGTTTTTTACCCTTTTTGGGGCAGGGTTCCCCTAAAATAGACTGCAGAAAAAAGAAGGAAAAAACGGGTACCCTCATTCGAACCTCTCCACTGGAGGACCTAGCCAAGTGCAGCGGTTTTTCTCCTTTTTTCTCCTTTCGCCCCCTAGAAAAAGGGGTCATCCCCCCTTTCTTTATTTTGGGGAATCTCTTTGCTCTTTCCTGCGCGTTGGTTTTGGTGGCTTTGCCGCGGCGAGTCGGTCTCCTTTGAGGACACCTGCGGGCTCCGGGACTTCCTGCCCTTCATCTGCCGCTGCTGCGCCGCGGATGAAAGACATTATTCTAGGTGAATTACAACGACCTCACACGACCTCACCCCAAATGCTGGTTTATGTGGGGAATGGCCCCCCAACCACCTTATTTCAGGTTGGTGAAATATTATAATTCACCCAGATTATTGAGGCAAGCTCACCTCAACTTGGCCAAAAGCGTGATGTTTGAAACCACCATGCAGAAAAGCCATCGGAACTTCGGGTTCTCCCCCTCCACTTGCAGCAGTCCAGAAGCTCCGTTTTTTTCCAGCAACTCCATCCGCTCGCGTGCACCTGGCCCCAAAGAAGATCCAACTGGGATGTTAAAGTGCCTCATTGTGAGGGCAGAGCCTTTTGAGCCGGAGCTCTGATTCCAGGCGGCTCTGAGGTGTTGTCTTCAAAAGTTGGCTGCGAGGATCATCGCCTTTTTCTTGGGGGGGAGTCGCATGTCTTCCATTTGGTTTAAGAATATGTCCTATTTTCCCCTGTTGGTTTCAAAGCGAATCGATCACTACTGGACATATTTCCTCATTTCTTCCAGGGGACTTAAGCAAATGGAGGATTATATTTTGAGACAATCAAATAGGGAAAGGGTGGTAATCGATCTGATGTCTGTTTCCGAGCCGAAAAGACAACCAAAACACAGATTTGCTCGGCGCTGTGGCTTCTTATTGGGGGCTTTTCACCTGCACCCAACCCCTAGACCAGGAAAATGGCAAAGGGGTACGTGCACCCTCAAAATTCCCACTAAATCATGTTATTGCCCCAAAATTATGTTGGCAAATTCCCTTTTTTAAGGGTAGCTCTTTCGGGCCCAGGGCGACTTAAAGGGGTTGTCATGGACCTGTGACAGGAAACTGGCCCCAAAACGGGGTTCCAATTCCTATTTTCGGAGGCACCCGGCACCCCTTGTTGGCGTTTTTCTTAAAGGGAAACGAACAGGAAGCCCATTTTTTGGGCTTAAGCAAACCAAACCCGGAACCCCTAAAAGCCTCTTGGATGTTCAACCTTAGGTTATGACAAGGGTAAGGGTATCTGGGGTTGGCTGCCTTACCACATGAAGTTGGATGAACATCCAAGCACAAACTTTGGGTGTTTGGTGAAGTTAGTACGTTGTATAACGGTAGCCTTATGCCCAACGCAAGAAGGCCTCCTGAAGCGAGTGTTCCAGGTGGCGTTGGCCACTTACCTTGGCAGCGAAGCCCCAAGTAGCAAAGGCGGCTGTGGGGTTCTGGGCGGGCGGCGCCTTCAAATGGTTCAAAACTAAACCACCAAAGACAGCTGGTTTTAGTCCAGGCGTTCATTTGCCAGGGTTCCGTTTTGGGTACCTATTTTTGACCCTGCAGCCAAATGGGGCGGTGCTGCTGCGTGAGGTGGTCGTAAGTTCTGCCAAGACCACGCGGACCCAGAGAAGCATGCCTGCCCTGCGAGCGTGGAGTCCAGAGGTGCGATCGTGTTTTTTTTCTCGGGTGCCGTTGCAGAGGTTTCCCAAAGGCTCCCAACTCCCTGAAAGAGTTGCTAGGCCCCCCAGTAGTGCTCGTTTACCAACTTTTTGGGGGGAGGGTTCCCCTACTAAAATAGACCACATAAAAAAGTTGGTACCCTTATTCTAACCTCTCTACTGGAGGACCTAGGTTGACAAGTTGACATTTGAGGGCCCTGGTTGGTGTCCCGTTCAGAGGGGTCGATTTGACCCTCCCGAGCGTTTGGGTTTGGACATTTGTTTGGCAATACTTGTTGGTATCCGAGGGCAGACTTGCTGAGTTCTGTTTGGGACTTTAGCCACTGTTTGAGTCAGAAGACAATTTTAGCGGCAAACAGCATGCTGGTGTAAAGGGTACCCCCTTGGCTGTCCAGAAAACTCCAAAAAAACCAACTAGATATGCAAGTTACTACTTTGTTAGTCATTGTTGCTGGTTTTTGGGGTAAAGTGGATGGAAAAAAGGCAGCAACTGCAGATCCAAACCTATCCTTTTGGCTTTTTGATGGGGTGCCGAGACTCGCCAGTGGCGATCTTCTTTTTTGTTTTTTGCCATGCACTCAAAACCAAAAAACAACAGCAACAGTGACTGAAAAACTGCCACTTGGCTATCTAGGTGGTTCCTTTGGATACCTGGGAAAATTGAATCACTAGAAAAAAATCCTGGCGGTTCCTGAAGCCCGTTTAATGGAGGCTGCAAAATCTGGCCCCTTCGGGCTTCGGGGAGTCACTTTTGGGGTCTTGCCATTTTGGGAAGCAACGAGTTCAGACTTTGGCCTAGGAAAAGAGGTTGACATCCCCCCCGAAATGTCATGCATTCTTCTTCAGTCTGTTTGAGTCATCAGAAACTGCGGCTGATTGCCGTGGGGGCAACCTCAGCAAATGGAAGCTCGAGAAGACGGTAGAGGCTCAAGCAACTCACTTCAAGCCGAAATCAACCAGATCTGACCTTGTCCTGTTCCCCTTCGCCCCACTTTTCAAACTGGGCAACGGCAACTGATGGAGTCATGGGACGTCGGATTGCGGGGCATGAATTTGTCCAGCGACCTTCTTTCAGGTGGTCCCCTTGAAATTCATAGCCAGTTGTCTAGGTCCCCCAGTAGCGCCCTTTTACCCTTTTTGGGTAGAGGGTTCCCCTACTAAATAGACTACAGAAAAAAGGGTACCCTTACTCTAACCTCTCTACTGGAGGACCTGGTTTTTTGGCATGTGTCCTGTTTGGTGTTCCTGGCGTCGGATTGTTTTTTGCGTTGGGCCCCCAGGTTGGAAAGTGAACCCACACGAGTAGGTAACCAGCCAGTGTGCATTTGGTTGCTTAAGAAAAATACAACCCGTGGTTACCCACAAAATCGGGCAAATGGAATCACTGGGCTCCATTTGCGCTTCAGAATTTGTTTCATGTTCCCCTGTCAAGGTTCTAAGCTGGACATATGTTGACTATTTTCCAGGGACATATTTGCAGATGTTTAGCAACGCCGGTTATATCTAGGTCCCCCAGTAGTGCCCTTGTACCCTTTTTTGGGGGAGGGTTCCTCTACTACAATAGACTACAGACAAAAAGGGTACCCTAGGGGCGTCCCTGGTTTTAGTGGGGACTTATCACTTTTGGAGGGGAACCCCCCACCATATTGAAAACATGTTTTTTTCAATCTAGTCTCAACATTCTGGCAAGTGCCCAGGGACTATTTTCCAGGGACATCTACTCGCCACGAAAAACGTGGTCCTTGAATAGCTCCCTCCTAGACCCGCGCAGCCCGCTCGGCCTCCGATGACTTGGACTCCGAGTTTCGCTGGTCTTTTTGGCAGCCCAAAAGTGCCAGCCCCGTAGGCTCCAAATGCCAAATTTACGCCTTTAAAGGGAAACAATCGGACCTACCTGGAGTCTCCTTCTGACCCTTTCAAACTGGTTGGTCATGATCCAAAATTGAAGGGTCACCCCGTTTTCATTTGGGGTCAGAAGGAGACTCCAGGTAGTTCCAAGTGCCAGACACACGGTGTACTGTTAGTTGCCTTTTGGCGGGAAATACCGATCCCTTCTTTGGTAGAGAGTTGACAGAATCATACCCGAGAACAGGTGGGTATTGTGTGTCAAACGGGTTCGGGCTGAACCGTTTCCGGGGGCGCATGCTGAAAAAACAAAATTCGGCAGAAGTTCGGGGGGACGCCCGAAACCTGAGTGTAGTGACAGACCCTGTCTGTCCAGTAGTGCCCTTTGACCCTTTTTTGGGGAGGGCTTTGCTGCTAAAATAGACCACAGAAAACATGGTGCCCCTATTCTAACCTCTCTACTGGAGGACCTGGCTGTATATTTGGCACACCAAGAGCCCAAGCCAGGGATGCTGGCCAGCATCTGCCAGTGTGGTGCTACAGTCAAGTTCGAGGACGGGACGACTGTTTTCGGCCAATTCACTTAGGAAGCGAGTGGTTGCTTGAGTATAAGGGGCACGATTTTCCCACTTAGGGATGTGTATAAAATTATTGTAGACCCTAACACCCACCCACCCTAAGACCCACCCACCCACCCACCCACCCGCCCGCCCGCCCGCCCCCGCCCCGCCCCGCCCCGCCCCGCCCCGCCCCGCCCCGCCCCGCCCCGCCCCGCCCCGCCCCCGCCCCGCCCCGCCCCGCCCCGCCCCCGCCCGCCCCGCCCCCGCCCCCCCCGCCCCGCCCCGCCCCGCCCGCCCGCCCCCGCCCCGCCCGCCCGCCGCCCGCCCGCCCGCCCGCCCGCCCCGCCCACCCACCCACCCACCCACCCACCACCCCACCCACGCACACACACGCACACACACACACACACAGACCCGGCACAAAGCTTTTGAGGCTGTAGTGTGCCGTAGTTTGTCCAGTCTGAGGTTTCACTCAGTCCTTGAGTTGAGCTTGCCGGGTTGGCCCGGCCAACCAAAAAGACAACGTGGCAGCTAAATTTGACATGGCTCAGTGGTTCAAAGCCATCTTGGACCTTCAAATTTCCAACTTACAAATGGCCTAGATCGCGCCAGTTGCTGCTTTGTTCCATCCACTTTACCCAAACAAACGATTGCAACAGTGACTAAAAAAGCGAGAAAGCAACTTGGCGAACCAGGAACTTACAATTGAGTTGTTCCCCCAATCCACTCAGGAAGTCGGTGGGGGAACGCCCCCAAGTTTTTGAGCCACAGCCATTGGCGCCACTTCCCTTATCCAAAAAGCTCGCCCGATTAAAAAACGCGAAACAAACTCCTTGCCACGGCTCGCCAGGACCGCCCCGGTGCGGAAGAGGAGGCGATGGCGGCGCATCAAAAGGCGAGGGAAGCAGAAAGACGTGTCAAGAACCTGTGAAAATGTCGTACCCTGACTAAACCAGCGTGTTTTTTTGGTATAGGTATGAAGTGTTCATCGTTTTTTGAGGCTGGCAGTTTGCTTATTTTGTACCTGGGCTTTTTTTTGGGCCTATTTGTGACCTTTGCTAATATGGGGGCTAGGTCCCCCAGTAGTGCCCTCTTACACTTTTTGGGGGAGGGTTCCGAACCCTAGTAAAATAGACTACAGACAATAGTTGGTACCCTTATGCTAGGTCGTCTCTACTGGAGGACCTAGCGGTTTGTCCCTGGTTTTAGTGGGGACTTCTCACTTTTGGAGGGGAACCCCCCCACCATATTGAAAACAGGGGTTTTTCAATCTGGGGTCAACATTCTGGCAAGTGGGCCCTACCAGTGAAGGTATCCGTTTAGGTCCCTTTTTTGCCAGCTTCCATTGGCTGAAATTAATACAGTGTTTTGTTTTACCCCTGGTGGGGTTTAGTTAGAATCTACTATAGCATATACTCTCATTATGTCCGGTGGACTAAGTAAATGGAGGTTATTGTTCGGCGAAGTTAGTAAGCTGTTGGTATCCTATGTTGATTAACCCGCTTGTAAGCATGTCATGTGCGGTAGTACCTATGGGGGGTCAACAGCGCGTAAAAGAGGGAAACCACCCTGATTGGATGTTCAACCTACTTAGCAAGTACGGCATAACCGCTGTTGTAAGTAGGGAAATGGGGGGGGGGTGGTGCTCTTATAACCATGCCTGGATCGCCAGTTGCTCTTCTTCTTTTTTTGTTGTGCTTCCATGCACTTTACCCCAAAAACCAGCATCAGTGACTGAAAAAGACCAGCAACTTGGCTATCTAGGTGGTTACAACTTACATAAGTGGCTTGAACCTCCAAGTACTCCCCGACGGAACGTGGTAGGGTCCAGGTACCTCGGATGTCTTTACGCCCTCGAATTGTCTCCGCTTGTTGGGGAGATCCAGAGAGTTTCTTGGGCCAACATACCCCCTGCACACAATACCCTAGACCCTCAAACCCTTAAGAAAGGGACTTCACCCCATACCGTACCCATTGTGTTTTACGGGTCCAGGCCGCGAGGCCCCACTTTTTCAGTTTGGTGCTGACCCTTTATTAAACAGGGATCGGTATTTACACTGGAAAGCCTATGCGGTTGTCCAGCTACAAGATGCAAACCTGGACCCTCAAATTTCCACAAACATGGGTTGCCGCAAACTTATGGGGTGAACTCCCTTTTTTCTGCTTAGTTTGAGGGTCCCAGGAACTAAACAAAGTCATCATTTGGAGCAGGTATTTCGTCAGATTCGAAACATTCTCTGGCTTATAAATATCCCCGTGTGATTTTTGGAAGCTACCCTTTGGTAAAAGGCAAACCGAAGAGGACACCACCAGATTTTGGGGGTCTAAAACAGTCACGTGGCCGTTTTGATCCAACGTTGGACTCCGTAGGCTCGGCCGGTGACTCGCGGGAGCACCTCGACATGTTCCCTCTTGCGCGCCAGGTCTGCCGATCCCAACCCGAACCTGCGCGGGAGCCGGGGGCCCGGAGCGCTCGCTGGGAGACGAAGGAGCCATTTCTTAGGAGGTGTCCATTGCGTTGGACCCTCAAACAAAAAATCCATAAAGAAAAGGAGAAACACGTAAGCCTGGTTAATTTGGGTTGCAAGAACAAAGTTTTTAAAGTTGGAACTTGGAGGGTCCAGCAACTTGTTTTGAGACTTGGAACTTCGGACCACATGGCAGGCGCACCGGTTTCCCTCTTGGTTTTCCCCTAAAGCAGTAAGACCAGGTGCCTGGACCCTCAAGATTTCCTTCAACATGGGAATTCGCCCGCAATTCTGGGGCACTATGAGGGTCCATGTACCTTGAAGAAAAAAAGCGAGCCGCCCGTTGGGGCTTTTGCTCCGGTCCGGTTTCTTGCAACCCAAACTGGGAACGACCCCAGCCAGGCCTTGCGGCTTGTCCAACAGCTGGGTGATTCATTTTTCCTATGTGTTCATAGCACAGGCGCTCTTCGATTTGTTTAGGGCCCTCAATCAGGGCTCTGCCAAAGACCGAAGTCCAATGCTTCGGGGTCTTTTCGGGTCTTCCAGAAGCTGGCTTGCCGATCGGAGCCTCTGGGAGTGTGGCTTAAACTATAGGGTACCCCCGTACCCCCAGAGTTTCTGGTTCCCTTCCAAACGCCCAGACCACCCACTTCAAAGTGGTCCCAAAGATTCGGGGAGCGGGTGCTTCTGTTTGGTTTTGGAGCTGTGCCTCTGGTTCCCTCCAATTGGGCCAGCGGTTCACGAAACCAATTCCAAACCAATCCAAACCAATTCAGGTGAAGCTGGGTTTTGCCAAATGCTTCCATTTGGCTAGCTTGTTTTTCATGTTGCCCTGTTGGTTTTAAAGGGAATCTATCACTCTGTTGGTTTTAAAGGGAATCTATCACTACTGGACATATTTGATTTATCCCAGGGGGCTTCTGCAAATGGAGGAATGTGTTGTGTCTGCTCGCCACTACAACATCCTGCTAGACGCCCACATTTGGGTCTGCATTCCTGAAAAGTTGGTCCTCCTTTGGTGAATTGGAACCTGCTGTGGATGGACGAAATCCTGCACCACCTAAGAAACATTGGAATGATGATGCTCCTGCAACTACCAACAAACGTTATGGTTTCAATGATGGCAACCATGGTTTCAAAGACACATGACTGGCCATTGGCTCCTATGACTTAAGTTGGTCTTAAACTCCCCCTGCTGCTTTTCGTCAGTCGCTGTTGCTGAGTACCTGCTGAACCCCCTAGAAATCGCAATAATTCGGTACTGGACTGAAGGAACTCTCCAATTCAGAATATTCTGAATGAGAATGGTTCACCTGAATCAGAATCACTTGTTCGGAATTCAGAATTATTCTGAATTGGGAGTTCTTGCCGTTGGGCGACACATTGGCAAAACCGGAAAGCACCACAACTGAAACTCAGCGCAAAACACCCGCAAAAAGCCCACAAACTCCCACAAAAAACCCGCACACTCCCGCAATTCAAAAAACAAAAAACACAGAGTTTCCGGAGTGTGCATAGTAAAATCAGTGGAATACCCACTCGAGTGCGCAGAGTTGCATAATTGCTGGGATAGTGTGCAGAGTGCATGGAGAAACAAAGCACCTGGCGATCCAGGAGGATCCTTTTTTCCATCTCCAAACCACAAAAACCGATCGCAACAGTGACTGAAAAAAGCGAGAAAGCAACTTGGCGATCCAGGCACCCATGTTTCACCCCGCTCCCCACTGGACTCCACGAGTCGACGAATCGGACGAGTCTCCGAGGCTGTGCCCGGCCGAGGGCTGCCGCAAGAAGCTGACGGCCATGAACTCGGTGGTCTGCACGGAGTGCAAGACCAAGGCGAGAGTCATCGAAGCGAACCATTTTTCCCGAAAGTTAAGTACCCCTCCGAAAGGACGCGGTCATTTATCGGGTGCATTTCCTTGGGAGGGTTCCCCTACTAAAATAGACAGCAAAAAGGGTACCCTTATTCTATCCTCTCTACTCCCCTCACGTCTCATGTAGATCTTCCCTCGGGGATTCGGTAGAACGAGCTCATGAAGGTCCTTTGAAGGGAAATCCAATCCTTAATTCAGCTTTTTAGATTACTATTTGCTGAATTGAATACCTTTGTTTTTGCCTTGTGGGCTTTAAGGATCAGTTTCACTACTGGACATTTTTTTTTCGGGGGCGAAAAAGCAAATGGATTTAAGTAGCTCTCTCACCTCCAGGGTATGATTTGTGTCAACCCGTTGGTGAAAAAGGGTGCATATTTACCAGGGCTCCTTAAAAGATCTCCATTTTGCACCCATTTGAAACATGTGGCTTTTTCAACACCAAACTAGAGGGAAACCACCATTACAAGTTGCAATGTTCAGGTGTATAATGTAAGGATCCCTGTTTACCTCGCCAAAAAACATGTTTTCCATAAATGGACCAACAAAAAGGAGGTCATGTTAACCCCAGGGTAATTAACCAATCCCTGTTTATGAATATGTTGGCGTTTTTGGGGCCCGTCAAAGTGGTGATGATTCCAACCACTAAACCCAGGGACACCCACGAACAAAGTTTGCTTTTTTCATCCGGGGTCAACATTGCCCCTCACCTCTCGTTTGATCTGCCCTGAGGTCCATCAGGGCTTGGTATGCAGAAGTGAGATGTTGAGGATGTTCCCCTTTGTTTTTACAGCTGGAATCTATCACCGAAACTCACTCCCGATAGTTCATGGACTCTACAGTCACTTTTGGGGTTTGGTTGTCATTGTAGTGGTAAAGGCAGGGGGAGAGTTCCATTTGCAGAATATTTGCCACCCTACTCCAAAGACCCACTTGTTTCCAAAGGAAACTGCTGTGGATGGACGAAATCCTGCACCACCCAACAAAGCTTGGGATGATGAGTCCCCCGTAAATACCAAGTAATCATTGTTTCCCATTGTTTCAAAGTGGTGCAGGATTCCGTGCATCCAAAGTATGTTCACAGGAAATCCAGGCTTTTTCAATAAAGAAAACAACAAAAGAAGGCCAAGGCGAGATCGAGACGGGGAAAGCCACTGGTACCCCTCGCCTCTCATCTGCCGATTTTTCAGCGAGCTCGCCGATGAGCGGGATTCGGTATACCCAGCGAAAGCCATTCGGAGGTGCTTTGCTTGGGGATCCGATTCTTCATTCAGCTGTTGGGATTAGAGCAACAATTGGCAGATTTGCTTTAGAATCTGCCTACGCACATTACCCATCTTTCTTCAGGGTAGGATGTCATCTAGGTCCCCTCTAGTAGTGCCCTTTTACCCTTTTTTGGGGGAGGGTTGCCCTACTAAAATAGACTACAGAAAAAAGTTGTAACCTTTATTCTAACCTCTTTCGTGGAGGACCTAGAGGTGTATACCCTGGAAAGCTTCAACATGCCAACTGCAAAAGCGGGTATTGGGAATAGAGGGCGCACTCTCTGTGATCCTGGACGCTAATCACTTTTTGGGCTTGGACCATTTTAGTGCCTGGAGCCTCGTATTTCCACTTTTGAATTTTGGTCAACAGGCAGTGTTTTGGGGCCCCAGGTGGGAAATAGAAACTTTGTTGGCCAATCCACTCAAGAAGTGAGATGTTGTTTATTTTCCTCTCTTGGACTTACACATATGGCCACCCGAAACGAGGGTGCGGGGATTCCCATCTTTGTTTCTACCTGGACCCCTTGAGTCCCTAAAAAATGGGTAATGGCTCAACAAAAGTTGGCTGGAGTTGGAGGGTCCGGGTCCGGGATTTCAGGAGGAGTGGTTTCAAGGCTCCAACCAAAACCGCTCGATGCCAAGGGCATCGAGCCACGCGCGTTTTTATTTTTCTTCTTTTTTCCGGAGGTCTGCCTGAAGCACCGCTTCGAGGACGAAAAGGGAGCCATAGACGGTGAGGGACAAAGAATTCTTGGTTATAGACGGTTATTTGTAAAATCCTTGACCTGGCTTCATTCGTTTCCTCCTTTCGCTTTCCTATAGTCAAGTAGCCATAAACAGGATTAACCGAGAGAACAGACAAAAGGGAAAGAAGGCAACACAAGTTTACGGAACGGCGGTGTTGGCACTTGAAAAACGTTTGGTTGGGGGGAGTACTACATATGGTCTAGGTCCCCCAGCTAGGTGCCCTTTTTAACCACTTTTCTGGGGGAGGGTTACCCTACAATAGACGACAGAAAAAAGTTGGTACCCTTATTCTAGTGTTCCAATTCGCGATAGTTTTTAGCACTTGTTAATGTACAGTGCGAAGTTTTTCATACTTTCGTAGTTACAGAGTGTCTAAACTTTAATTACAGACGTGATGTTAATCACATAAGTCAAAGGGGATAGAGTATCTGATTTAACTCATAGTATCTCACTTTTTGTTAACCTCTCTACTGGAGGAGCTAGTTGTGAGGGTCCAGTGTATATAGTTGTGTATCCCTCGCAAAGGGTGCAACCATATTTTGACTGCCCTGGAATGGATCGACTCCTGGGTGTCTCTCAAAATAGGGGCCCAAAATCAAGGCCCTCAAATGGGTTGTTTTTCAGGGTTTTTGAGGGGTCAGGGTTCTCCTCTCAAGTAATTAAATTGGACAGGTTTGCGGAATTCGGCTTAAGCAAATCTAAAAGCATTGTGAAGCAAACGTTATATGGTTTCAACCTGGATGGCCAAGTTGCGATCGCTTTTTTCAGTGACTGTAACGCGATTGTTGTTTTCTGTAAATGGGGTTTGGAGTGCATGGAAAAAGCAGCAACTGGCGATCCAGGTCGATTTTGAAAGACTTCGATCCATATGAGTGTGGCTAAACTATATCTGAGGGACCTCCGCATGAGTTTGAAGAGAACTTTAAGAGTTGGAACCACCAAGTGATTGGTGGACCTTTTGATCAGGACCCCGGATTTTGAATTGTCCAAGGGCCCCTGATGAAAATTCAGAGCGATATGGGTGTGGTTCACAGAATCTCGTTTGAGTCTTGCATTTGCCAGGGCAGCCCATGGGCCAACTCCTATTTTGCTGGACTCCGGAGCGCAAGTGGAGCGCAACACTCGGGGTCAGTTTTATGCCTCCAGTGGGCTTCGCCCAGTCATTTGTGGGTATCCTACGTGGCGTTGGCCACACTTGGCCAATTTTTCCATGTACCCCCAACTTCACATACCCACTTTGTTACGTTCGGGTATTTGTGAACACACCGGGTTGTCCATTTATGAATACCTGGAGTCTCCATGACCCTTCAAAGATGGGGTCAGACTCCCCAAAATTGCGGGGTCATGACCCCTTTTTCTAGGGGTCATGACCGGAGACTCCAGGTAGTTCTGCTTGTTTTCTTCTTACTTTTTCTTCTTCGTTTTCCTCAGGGGTTGATATGAACCTCCCCCCAGGACCAGCATCCCTGCAGGGAGAGCAAGGGCCAATGGCTGGCGCGGCTGTCGAAGCCTGTGGCCTGGATTAGTGGCCCTTACAGGCGCTGGGATCCGGAAGAAAACGAGGGTCCCCCAGTGGCCGTTTCTTTTTTGGGGGTTGCTTCAAATGAGCGGCGCCGGTTTAACCCGTTGACTTGTGCTTCTATGAAAAGAATTAGCTAAAAAGGTTTACAACGGCCTGCTCTAACTACCATGAAACCAGCTAGCAAAAACACATGCTAGCATTTCGATTTGCGTTTTTTTTAATTATTTTTTTTTTATTTTTTTTTTATTTTTTTCGAATGAAACATTGACTACAGAAAAAAGTTGGTACCCTTATTCTATCCTCTCTACTGGAGGACCTACTGAACCCTCAAAATTCCAGTCCCCCCAAAGGAAACCACCACTTGGATGGTTTATCTCAATGTTATTCCATTTCTCATTCCCTGCATCTCTCGCACCAGCAAGCAAACTTCGAGCCCATGTCTCAATGAGTGGAAGGAAGTAACGCGGTAGCGATTGTTGGGGTGAGTCGCCTGCCCCAAAATGATGGAGTTGATAGTCCAACTCTTCTTGTTTACGGGTAGTTTGAGGGTCCAGGTACCGTTAAACAAATAAAAGCAGTGCACCGACCATAATTTAGGGTTGCAGTAGCTCATTCTTAAGTTTGAGGGTCCCGGAAGACCACTCTTAGAGCCCTAAGCATCAGATTTCGGACCCATTGCAAGGTTTTGGACCTCAAATAAAAGCCTTGAGGGCCTGTTTGATGCTTGGGGTGGTAAATAAACAGTTTGGTATTGCTTTTCGCAGCCCTATCTACTCATGCGAGGGGGGTTTTAGTTCGGTTTTCGGCCGAGTTAGAAAGTTGTTGGAAACCTAGGTTATAGCCCACTTAGCCTCCTTGGGCAACAACCTAAAGGTAGGGGAGCCATTGCCTACCTGGACCAAGCCTCAAAATTCCCTTAGAAAGGAGTTCTTGCCCCACGAACTACTACCCGGACCCTCCAATATGCCTCAAAAATGGTGATATTGCAAGCCAACTCGTGCTTGTGATTTCCTGCCCCCAGCAAATTTGAGCCACGAACGGGCCATCCTCTCGCTCGCTCAGGCCACGAACGGCGCAGTCGCGAATGGCGCGGGGGGCTGCGCGTGGCCTGGCGACATGAGAAAAGGACCGGTGCGGATTTTTTGAGCGCCTCAAAGTTCCAACTTCAACATGGGGTGATGCCCGAAACATAGGGGGTGAGTGCACGTTATTGAGTTGGACCCTCGAAATACAAACTTAAAGATGGGTTATTGATCAAGCGTATGGGGTGAATTCCCTTTGTGTTGGGTAATTTGTGGGTCCGGGTTTACGCTAAGGGTCCGATTTGACAGTGTTTGGGTCCTCAAAAAGAGCTGTTTTCTTGAGGGCCCAAATTGGAATTGGTCGCTTTGGGTTCTCCATTGCAGGGTCCCCGTTGGGCGACAAGCAATTCATGAACCATAGGTTTTTCAATCCTGTGCTCTGGACTTTGATCACATGGGAAGATTATCTGAGGCCCTCACAAACGGCCGCATAGTGAGGCCGAACAAAATGTCCAATCAAGATCCTGACCCCTTCAATGGATGGTTGTTGCTGATGCTTCCACCAGGTTTGCAACTCCTCTAAATGTCACATGTCTTTGAATCAAGTTCCAAAAGCACAAAACCCCCAAACTACCCATGTTCTTTTTTTTTAGCAACCACCAAACCACAGCACACACACAGACACAGAAGAAAAACAAATGACCCACACAATTCAGCCCCTGAGGCCGAAGGCGCAGAACTGGGGCAGCGGCGCCTCCGGACGCAGGAGCCTTTTACGGGAACCGCAAGCTTTTGGATGGCGAGGAATAGCCACGAGGTCGAATTTCCTGACCAAAAGGGGGATTCCTGGTTAGCCAAGTTGCTTTCTCGCTTTTTTCAGTCACTGTTGCGATCGGTTTTCGAGGTAAAGTGGATGGAACAAAGCAGCAACTGGCGATCCAGGTTTCCAGGTTGGTATTTACCCTGGAAGACCAGGTTCTTCCGAAACCAAATAACTCAAACAAGAAACATGTGCCTGGAGTCTCCTTCTGACCCCTACAAAAAAGGGGTTAATTGCCCCGAATCCTTATTTTGGGGAGTCTGACCAACCATGTTTAAACGGTCAGAAGGAGACTCTAGGTACTTCCAGTTGATGAAATGAATAATTTTGCTTTCCCCTGGTGGTTTTCAAGGGAGTGCTTCACTGGAAGCCAATGGAAGGATAAGGGGTATAATTTGCCCTACCAGGCCATTTGTTGGTGGTATTTCAGTGTCCATACCTCCAACACCTGAAAATGCCCTTGAGTTGTGTTTGTGTTGCTGTTGTGTGACCTGCAACCCAAAATCATGGCTAGTGAATTCCAGGTGTTTAATGGGTAGTTTGAGGGTCCATTTTCTTGAGGGTCCAATTCCCTGAAAATTGGTTGTTTCTCAATTGTGGTTGGCGAATTCCCTTCTTAATGGGTCCAGGTAGATGGAATCACTGGGTTTGGCGATGTTGATGCCCTCTCACCCTTTGTCTTTACTTTGGTGTATGTTGCTTGGATGTTAGGACTTTGACTTTCTGCCAACGAATTTGGGTTTTCCATTAAACCACTAAAAGTTAAACTTTTTGCAGGGGGGCAGAAAGCAGCCGAGTTTAGGAGCGAGGAGCCGGAGGCGGCGAAGGATGCCAAGGAGGCCGCCTGAAGGGGCCTGGGCCGAATCTGTCGAAACACGACTACGACGTACCCATGGCTAAGATTCCGTTTGTACCACCCAACTACACACACACACACAATACCCACGTTTTTTTTCAGGGCATGTCAGCCCTCTGTTGAAACAACGGAGGTATTTCTCGTGGAAAACCCACGATCTTCCAATCAGTATCTTAAAACATGAGGGTATTTCGAGCTTGCGGGGGTAGAGGTCCCTTCTTTCCGCTGAGAAAGTTGTTAGGCACGTGCCCTTCACCCCTGCTGGGAGATGCTTTTTTTTGGCAGGAATAGTCCCGGCCAAAGATAGGTCCGGAGATCCGTCCTTGTGATTCTTTGCCGTTCCCTCCAACTCTTATGTGTATATATATATATATGTAATAATAATAATAATAATAATAATAATAATAGAAGAAGAGATATTTCACCAGCCAGGATTTTGGGGCAGGCATTTCGAGGGTTCAGGAATTGGCTGTTTTGGGTAGACAGTTCAGCGACTTCCCCCACTGACCGCGTCTCAGACCAACCCCCTTAAAGAAGAAATATGACTTAATACAGCTTTTTTCTAGAGCTTATTTCCCTTTAGCCTTGATTTGTGTTTTATTAATAAAGGGGCATGTCAGAAGGGTCTGGTGGTACCACGTTTGAGTACCTGGATACTCGGAATTGCCTTAAAATTTGGTTATTTCAACCCAAGGCTATTTTGGACGGGTAGTCCGGGCACCAGGTTTGTTTACAAATTTGCAGCTGGCGTGTGCCACGCATCATGGCGTCCGATTTTTCCGGTCCCGACGCCGGGGCTACTTGGGCTGCAGAGGTCACAAATTTTGGGGAGGTAGTACCACCCTCAAGCCAACTTAAAAGATGGGAACTCACTCGCAATTTTTGCACGTGATTGTTTTGGGGGGGGTATACCCCCAAAGAATATGGGATTCTCCCAATAATGTGAGGTACACATTCACCAACCAGGATTTTGGGTTGCAATATCCAACTTTTAAAGGGTATTTTGAGGGTTTAGGCAAAGGTGTCAAGCTGTGGGGTGAAGTTGGAGTCCGGGCTGTGCCGCCCAGAAAAATAACGTGAGTGGCCTGCCCCAAAATGATGGAGTTGGTGAATTCCTTTTCATTTTCTATGTAGTTCTTTCGGGTCCAAGAATTGTACTTCAAGTACGTCCTGTACTTTGCGCCCAAAATCGCACCGTGGGTGTTTCCCTTAACGCTCAAACCAAAGCGTGTCCCAACATCTCTTCGCGTTTCCTGGGCACTGCCTTTTTTCCTGAACCCTCACAATTCCAACTTAAAACAGTTGTTATCTAGCCCCAGAATTTAAGATGGGTGAAATCCCTTTTCTTCTACCTGACCCCTCAAAGTTCCCTTAAAAAATGGCTGATAGCCCAACAATTATACATTTGTTGTAGCCCCAAAATGATGGAGTTGGTGAATTCCAACTCTTTTTTCTGGGTACCTGGAGTCTCAATGACCCTTTAAAATGGGGTCATTACCTAAAATTAAGGCTAAGGGGTTCTGCCCCCTTTTTCTAGGGGTCATGGAGACTCTAGGTAGTTCTGTTGGGTACGATGGAGTTGGTGAAGCCCTTTTTTTCGGTAAAATTATACATTTGTTATAGCCCCAAAATTTGGTGAAGACCAACTTTTTGCTTTTCTGGGTAGTTCTTTGGGTGCGAGAACGGTACCTCCCAAAAATGGCTATAGCCTGAAATTTATGCATTTGTTATAGCCCCAACATTTGGTGAAGACCAACTTTTTTTGCTATTTCTGGGTAGTTCTTTGGGTGCGAGAACGGTACCTCCCAAAAATTGGCTATAGCCTGAAACTTATACAATTGTTATAGCCCCAAAATTTGGTGAAGACCAACTTTTTATGTTATTTCTGGGTAGTTCTTTGGGTGCGAGAACGGTACCTCCCAAAAAATTGGCTATAGCCTGAAATTTATAGCCCCAAAATTTGGTGAAGACCAACTTTTTTTGTTATTTCTGGGTAGTTCTTTGGGTGCGAGAACGGTACCTCCCAAAAAATTGCCTATAGCCTGAAATTTATACATTTGTTATAGCCCTAAAATGAGTTTTTTGGGTGAATTCCAACCTTTTTTGTGGGTACTTCTTTTTTGGGTCGGATCGGCATCCCTCGCCGTTCTCGCCGGAGAACGGCGTTCAGCTGCTCCGCTTCGCACCCGGCAGTGGCTCGAAATGAAAGAGCCAGGGCCAACCGCAGGTTTTGGTCCATGTGTCCACTGACCAGGGCAAGCCATTTCGGTATGGGTGAAACATAGGTACCCAAAATAATGAACCCTGGTAAATGGAAACATAGACCAAAACCTGCGGTCCGATTCCTGGTTTAATTTTGAGTCATACCCACTTCAGAAGGTTGTTGTGAGGGTACGAGCTTGGGCCCTCAAAACAGGGGGGTCTTTTACTTGTGAGAAACTGGCCGAGCCCCTCAAGAAGGAACCCTTGACCACGAGGTCGATCAATTGTCCACCAAAGGTGGCAAAAAGACCCCCCTGCCTCAAAGAGGACCTTCCTAGAGTCTCCATGACCCTTTAAAGATGGTTGGTCAGTGCCCTAAATAATGATTCGGGTCATGGACCTATTTTTTATTTAAAGGGTCAGAAGAAAACATCCAGGTTGAACTGTGGTGCCTCCGAAAACTTACCTCTTAAAAACACAACTGTTCAACTTTGTTGGGTAACATGGGCTATATGTCTGTAAGGGGTAAGAAAAGGAAGCCTTGACCACGAGGGTCTTTTTGGAGCCATCGCTCGCTTTCGCCAGTTTGGCTTCCTTGGCTTCGGGGAGCTGCAGAAGCTGCGGGCGCAGCTGGGCGGCACGGAGGAGCAGAAGGCCAACTGCCTGCAGACCTTGCGCCGCTCGGAAGCCGTTTCCGCCAGTTTCATGGCTGGTCAAAATGAATGGGATACCCATTTTGGGAAGGGGATGGGTGAATTCACCACCCATTTTAGAACCGATTTTAAGTGGGGCTTGGGATGTTGACTGGGGCATGGCCACATGAGCCCTCGCCCTCGCTCGTTTTAGCCCTTTCTGTTGTACAGAAGTGGATTCCATTTTTTTCACAGCCCTGTTATGGCGAATTTGAGAACCACACCAGGTGAGTCACCATCAAAACCCGGGTAGATGAAGGTTAGTAAGGGACAAGCCCCTTGCCATAAATAGATGCGCGTGTCCGCCTTCTTAATTCTTGAGTTGTGGGTAGACCATTCTAATGCCGGGTTTTGATTGTAACACACATGAGCGAGCAGTGATTTGACTTGGGAAGCACCTGGACTCACACAGTACTAATAAGAAAAAAGGGAGTTCACCAAGTCCGTGTTTTTGAGCTAAGAACCATGGAAAATAGAAGCCCAAGTGTGTGAGGCCCGGAAAGAAAGAACAGTTCTTTCTGGCTGTTCATCAAGCAACCATTTCCCTAAGCAAACAAAAAATAGAACCTGAACGCAACAGTTCACGGCCCATAGGGTGAATTCCCTAATTTAAGTTGGTAGTTTGAGGATCCAGGTATACATGCCTCTTGCATGCCACAAGCGCATGGCACGGATGAAAGCTCGCGGTATGTAGCCAGCATTGTATGTTTAGTGTTTTTTGGCAAATCCACTCAATTGGAACTGATATTTTAAGAACCACCCATTTGGATGGTGATTGGCCTTCTTGAGTGTGCGATTCCCAAAGTTAGTAAGTTGATATCCTAGCCCTCGATTAAAACAGGGCTCATATAGCCACCATAGTTTACCTATTGTCATCATCTAAATTGGCTCCAGTCTGTTGATGAGGGCGAAGATCTCTGGGGCTAGCTGTTATAACCCGCGCTTTGGTTCGCCCGCCTAAGTGGAGACAACCAGCTATTGTTGGTGGATTATGACTCAGGTGGCTAACAACTTCTTAAGTTGGCGAATCGAATATCCAGGGACCCCCTACTCCAAACACTTTTTTGTGCGATTATATTTTGTTGGAAAACCCGGCTCAGGGCAAATACAACGGTCCCTGTTTTAGGAGGGGTTCACAAATCATACCAACTGAAAAAGGCGTTGGTATTTGGCCAGGTGGATTTCGGTTTCCACTATAGTAGGTAACCCGCAATTTCTTTTGAATGTGATTTTGGTCGGGTTTTTTTGTTTGCCTTACCTAGAATCAGAGAGCCCTTCACCGGGGCCGTGACGGATTTGGATGTCGAGTACAAAGCAGCCCAAAACAAGCCGATAAGCCGGATGTGCTGAGAGGTGTGCGCAAATCAAAACACCCAAACTGCCCGAAACTGCACGGGAAAGCCCCGTTTGCGCGAATTTTCCCCCGTTAAGGGCAGCTAGAATACCATATATCTAGGGGAAGCCTCCCCATTCTTTCCAGGGATCCTTCTTTTCAGAAAACCATCAATAACCAAGAGGAAACAGCTGTTTTTTGAAAAGAACAATGGTTAAACAGAATGGAAAAGGAATCAACCACTAGAACAGAACTGGAATCACTGGAGCTTACCTGGGTAACTCGACTCAGGCAAGCTTCTCTCCAATGTGGCCGCGGATCCCACGAACGAGAAGTTCCGCACCGTGAAGCGGGAGAACAAGGCGACGAGCGTTTGTTTTTTTTGGTTTCGGGTTTCGGGTAGGTAGCGTTTGCTGGTGCCTAGATAGCCAAGTTGCGATATGTTTTTTTTTTTTTTTTTTTTTTTTTTTTAATTTTTTTTTTATCAGTCGCTGGTGCTGTTTTTTGGCGTAAAGTGCATGGACAAAAACGATCGCAACTGGCGTCCCTTGGTTGCGTCCCCTTGTGGGTACCTAGAGTCTCCTTCTGACCCTTTAAAAAATGGAGTTGTTACCCAAAAACAATCCGGGGTCATGACCCCTTTTTTTAGGGGTCAGAAGGAGACTCTAGCTACTTTGCTTTTTGGGTAATCACCTGGACCCGAAAAAACGTTCCATAAAACACAACAAAGGAATTCACCCATTTGGGGTTGCAAGAACCATTTTTGAGGGTCCAGGTTCATGCTTTGCCAATCCCCTTCCTTATAAACGGAAGGAACGCAGAAGGGCAGGTCCAATTTCATTATTTGCAAGTGGCGGGGCTTTGTTCCATGTTGATTTGGGGAGCACGGGTCGACTCTGGCCCTTTTGTCCCAAGAACGGGATCACCTCTTTGGGGTCATGATTCAGCGGATGTCACAACGATGGGCGACCAGAACGAGGATCACCCACGCGTCCAAAGCAGAGTCCTTTGGGCATCAGACCCCTCTTTTGAGGGCATCCGTAGGTCCAAGACTGAAACCAATGGCCTTAATCCAGCGTCCTGAAGGAAGATCGAGTGATGTTCCTCAATGAAGGAGATAGCCACTGAAGATTCTGTGTTTTTTTTGGACGGCGTTCTTTTTGTTTAAGAGGCAGCTTCGGATGGTCGCCCAGAACCCATCTTTTGAGGGAAGTATCAGTGTTCAGGTTGGCTTTTCCCATAACTCCCGACCGAATTCTGGGAGAACCGGTGTCCTTCGATATGATCGTGGGAATTCGAATCCCTTGGTGACGCCTAAGTTGCTCAAAATTATGGCCCTAAGGGTCCTGAAAGAGAGTCCTCAAAATGGGTTGTTCTCTTTCCGGCCTCTGAGGAATTGGTCGCTTTGGGCTTTCCATTGGAGCGTGACCCTTAAGAAGGTGAATTCCCATTTTTCGGCCGGGGGAAGCATCACAAGGGAGACTTTTCACCCTAGCATCATTCACGAGCCCTCAAAAAGGTCCTCAAAATGACGTTCCTAAGGTTCGCCCGATTTCGTGGGATCGGGTCGGAAATCTGATGCTCACTATGTTTACCCCACTTAGAGCCTGGATCGCCAGTTGCGATCACTTTTTTCCATCCACTTTACCCAAGAAACCAGCAACAGTGATTGAAACAAAACAGCAACTTGGCTATCTATAGGCTATTTATGTTAGGGCGACGGGGGTGGTTGCGTTCCTTCCCAGGGTTCCCTACTTCCTCCCGGATTTTTCGCGCCCAATTCGAGCGCCAGGCGATCAAGGAGAAGATCTTGGACGTGCCCGGGGGGGAGGATGTCCTGGGCTGAAAGTGTCAGCCGTCGGGTAAGTACCCGTGGACTTTTGGTGGAAATCCATTTCGCACCACGAAATGAGTTACCATGGTTGAAGCCATAACCTTTGTTGCGGTATTTGCAGGGGGGAATCAGACTTCCAGGGTTTGTCAGGTGCTGCGAGATGGATTTCGCAACCATCCACAGTAGAAACCATGGTGGGCCATGGGAGCGAGTTGGTGAATGAATTCCATCTGGGGTGGCTTGAGGGTCCAGGAACAATCCTGAAGCCCACTATTTCAGGATCCGGATGGAAACTTTGTTGCATTTTGCCAAGGGATGTTAGGACTTTGACTTCTTGCCAACTCATGGGTTTTCCAAAGATTAAAGTCCTAACTTTGTGAAAGTGCAAACTCCCCTGCTAAAAGTGTAACTGTCTGCCAACTTTGTTAGGACTTGTCTAACTTTTAAACCACTAATAGTTAAAACTTTTAGTAGGGGAGCAGAAAGCAACCGAGAAAGTTTCGACCCACGTCGGGGAAGTAGGAACCAAGCGAACAAAGATTCAAGTAGGTAACAAGGCTACCCTGTTTTCAGGATATGTCCCTTTAACCCAAAAAGGCATAGTTGTATTTGCCCGGGAAAACGCCGGGTTTTGCAAAACAAGCCAGCTATGTAGGTCCCGTCGGGTGTAAAGAAAGAGCGACCGCCTTTTGGTTTCCCTTAGGAAACAATGGTCCCTTTGCTTAAACCAATCTCTGAGCGTTTCTTTCTGTTCTTCCCGTAGGGTACGCTCTGCCCCAAAGGTCACCACTGCTTTTGGGCCGTCAAAATGGGTTGTTTTTGAGGACCCTTGAGGGGTCCGGGTTCTCCATTGGAGGGCGCACGGGTGTGCATTGGAGGTCTCTCTTTTATGCACTAGAAGGGTGGATCCACTGATTCACCGCGACTCCAGACCGTTTCCTAGACCGTCTACTTGGATATCCGAAACGCCAAGTTCGAAAGCGGCCAACGCCACCTATGGCCCACTGGGCTAACCAACCCCACTTCAGGAGGCTAAGTATACCATAGCTCCGTGAGCGAGGCTGCATGAAGATATGTTCAACTCCTTTGGTACCTAGGTTACCCACAACATACCAGGGTTTCACTTTTTGACTACCCTCAAATAGACTTAAACCCAGGGGTGGGTCATGTACCCCAAAAGGAACACTCTGGGTTTAAGTCTATTTGCCGGTCAAAAAGTAGAACCCTGCAACATACCACGAGTGACGCCTCAAGCCCGGTTATGAGAGAACACCCAGCCCCAAAGACAAAAAATAACAAATCGATTTGCACCTAGCAACGTGGGAAGGACAGGTGTCCTTTTTGGTTGTTTTGCTGTAGAAAAACGAGGGCGATTCCTGGCTTGCTTGGTGTTTTTTTCTATTCTACCAGGGATTTGCATCTATTTCCAACCCAAAAGGACACCTATGGGAAAGGATAGGTGGGGCGAGCCTTGGAGGCTGATACCTTCTGATACCTTGTCATTTCATCTGGGCCACCTTACCTCTGGTCCAAGAATTCTATAGGGTTTTGGGAAGGTTTCGCCTGCAGGGAGTACTTAGTGCATATGTCTCACAAGGCTGGTTTCCTGAAAGAACAACAGCGTTCAACGCTTGGTGCCTTAACCTAGGTTCGCATTTTTTTTAGTTTTCTTTCATATCTTCACTAATTCATTTGTCTCCTAACGATAGCTCGTCAGGGAAAGAATGCCATGGGAAGCAGTAGACAAAAAACAAAAGTCAACTAAAGAAGAACCCAAAAGAAGCATTCTGGATCTCAAGGTAATTCCCTGTGCAGATGTTCTCAGGACGATTTCTATTCGATCAGGAGCTCATGAAGGGCCTGGGCTTCATCGACGCGGAGTCCTCTTTGCAGCTGCCGGCTGCCGTCCGCGCCGAGCGGATCCAGGCGCTGCTGCGCCTGGTGCTCCCGTGAGAACCTCACGCGAGAGTTCGACCCTTTGGAGAGAGGCGGAGAGGGAAAAAAAACCGCTGCGGCCTCAAACTTGCCTTAAGGAAGGGACGGTCAACTCAGAATTTTGCCGCAAAATCGCAGAATCACGGAATTCACTCAGTTTTTTTGGGTTGCAATTACCACAGTTTCCTCAGCTGGACCCTCCTGGAACAAGCAAGCAGAGTGAAAACCCACCATGGGGGCTTTGGGCTTTGCCCGGTCACGAGACCTGAAGCTATTTCAGGTCTTTGGCTCTGGGCCTTCATATTTTACCCTGGGATTTGTGTTGCCACCCTTACAACGAGCTTTTCATCTTTTTGGCATAGCTTACCTAGAGATGGTCATACTCTAAATGTGGTCCTTGCCATTCTTTGTTGAACCCTAACGTTTGGGTCTAAGGAGCTCCTAGACCACGTTTTGAGCGCCATGTGGGTTGCTTTGTTTTTATCCGTCTCGCGCGATCCCCGGAACTTCCGGACCCGTCGTGTTGGGAAAAGTTGGTGTAAACCGGACCTGGGATCGAGGTTTTATTTCGAGATGATCCCGGCTCACCTCCCCAGTTCTGTTCCGGACTTTGGACCATTTTAGTGGTACCCAGAGGCTCCAATTCGATTCATTTAGGGCCCTCATTAACCGCCAGGTTTTGAGACCCCCAAACACCGAAGCGGGGTGTCCAACGGAGGGTTTGGGTCTTCCATTGAAAGCCGAGCCTTTGGGTAAGAAACATGTTTGGACGAAGTAGATACGGCAAGTAGGATTCATGATTGATGGATGGGAGGCTCATGTTGAACCTGGATGAATAACCCGGTTGTCGGGCCCCACAGTGCAGGATTCCCACTCAACTGCCCCCGAAAAAAAGCAGAGGGGGTAGTCTTCCCAAGTTCTCATTAGGTTCAGTTCTTTTTTGTTTTATTGGAGGGCCCGACTGATAGAATTTTGTTCAAAGGCTGAATATATATGCCCATTTGAACCCCTGGTATGATCCCCTAGATGACCGTGCCTCCTCAAAGTACCCGTAGCAAATGGGACATTGCCCCCAGAATGTCGGGGCAATGTCCCATTAAGGGTTCAGGTAGCGACCACGATCAGGTGAGCCACAATCAAAACCCGGGTAGATGACGGTTAGTAAGGGACACTCCCAACCATAAACAGCTGCGGCCGCTTTCTTAGTTTGTTACATAGTTCTGGGTCCATTTTAGTACCGGGTTTTGATTATGACTCATGCACTCGATAGAACATGCTCACCGGTCTCCACTCGGCTCGAGAACCCTCCGGTCTGTCTGCCAAGAGCGCGGGCAAAGTCTCTCCACAGACGGATTCGACTTTTTCGCGGCGGATTTTTCGCAGCGGAGCGCCTCGTGCCGCAACAAAAAAGAGGCGGGCGGAGATCCGAGGATTGGATTCTTCCTGGAGTCTCCATGACCCTTTAAAAATGGGGCCATTACCCAAATGAAATAAAGGGGTCATGGACCATTTTTTGAAGGGTCATGGAGACTCCAGGTTTACACAGCTTGAGTACACCGTCTCCTTCGGTGTTGAGGTGCTTAGTTGGCTTTACGGGGCGCCGCGAAAAGTTTAAGCAGTTTCTTAGTCCCACTAACCTGGCACCTGACACAGCGTACCCAAGAAGAACAGCTCCGGGCAGGGGATCTGACCTGGTTGGGAAAAGCTTCTTACATATATTTTTGCTTATTGTGGTTGAGTGGTTGAAGAGATTTGAGCCGCTGAAGTGCTAAGATTGGAGAATTGTTGCTCCCCTTCCGTTGCGTCAACCAAGCCTGATCTGAGCAGTTGGGGTTGATGGGGCCCTGGTCGAATGGCGCAAACCTCACGAGTGCCTCCCGAGAGAGTTCGAGCGTGAGGTCTTGGTGTTGTTCACGTTTTATTTTGTTGCCCGGGTCCTGACTCTGCACCTGCACCCAGCCTCAAACTACCACTAGGTCCTCCAGTGGAGAGGCTAGAATAAGGGTACCGACTTCTTTCTGTAGTCTATTTTAGTAGGGAACCCTCTCCGAAAAAAGGGGTGAGAAAGGGCACCTAGCTGGGGGACCGAGTCCAATTTCAAGATGGTTGCTGAGTTGCAGCCCCAATATTCTTGGTGAGTCTGTCTCCCGATCCGATTTGTTTGCAGATCCTTTGTTTAGGTAGTCCTGGTTGTTTAGTGAAAAGAACGGGGATTTATGATGGCGAACCGGGAGGCAGACACTTCAATGGCCCTTTTTGGTGTGAAAGGGAAGCCAGCCATTTTGCGGGTTCCCTTATTTTGAGACGCCAGGATACCCGGCCTTTGTTAAGTTGTTGTTTGTTTTTTTTGGATAGCTACAACGTTGTCCTTTTTGTTGCAAGTCAAGCGGTTGACATGGGGGTTGTTCACTATTCCTGTCCTCCAAATGACCATGGGTAACTTGTTCCATTTAGTGAGACGTATCAACCTCCACATACCAACTGCAAAAAAATGAGATTCGGAGTAAGGTTGTTGAACGCATTCCTGGCCTTTGAAAGGGCATTGGCTTAACCCACCTAAAAGTGGATCGATAGGGAAACCACCAGTAAAATGATAAACTTTTGAATTGGGGAAATCCAATGACCGCTTCTTGTTTTTAGGTTTGTTACTTAGTTGGCATTGGTTGGTCATAAATTGCCTGGTGTGGACAACACAGCATCTCAGTTCCGGGTGGCCTCTTTGTCAGATCTCCGGATGCCTCGGTGAACACCCCGCGCCGTTGCTTCCTCAATCGGGCCCCTGGAAACCGCCAGAGAAACCGCCAGCAACCCGCCATGTTTAGAATTTGGGAACCCGGGAAACCGCCCAGAAGACACCATAAAATCCATTTGCTTAAGGCCCCTGGACAAAATGAGAGCATATGTCCAGTAGTGACAGATTCCAACTCAAATCCCAACCAACAAAGTAAATCACGTATTTCTTTCAGCAAATGGAACATTCAAAAAGTGCTCCCCTATTAGTGATCGAGAACCTGTCCCTCACTTTGTCAATTTGCTGAAATAGATATGTTTGTTGTTTTCCTCAGTTGGTTTTCCGGTTGGATTCGATTCTACTACTGGACATGCCTGGACCTTCAACATTCCCTTGAACACGCGTTCTTGGTTCATGGGTCGTTCTTGCGGGTCCAGCTGATGGAATTGTTCGCTTGGCTTGTTCGTCCAGTGGGTTCGCGCATTCCATTCTGCGCATCCAAAGGCTCCTGGGGCTTTCAATGGAAGACCCGACCCCCCGCTTCGGACACCCCAGAAGTGTTTGGGGGTCTCAAAACCTGGCGGTTAATGACGGCCCCAAAATGCATCGAGTTGGAGCTTCTGCGCCAAAAAAGAATGGGGGGGGGGGGGGTGAGCGCGCCTTTCGAGCGCGCCTTTCGCGCGCCGAGCGCGAAGGATGGACGAGCTGGTGCTGACGGAGATGCGGTTTTTGGACGCCTTGTGTCTGGAGCCCTTGAAGGAAGTAGATCTCGCCAGGCGAGGGTCGGGTTGGCGTCCCATCCAACCCGAAACTCGGGTTGGACATGGTTCTTTGGGTCTCCTCGATTCTCCCCTAAGGCCCAAATTGGTGTGCAGATCAAGATTTGGGCCCCTGGAACTGGGTTTCATTCAGCTTGCTCCAACCTGAAAAGCGTAGCCTCAAGAAAGTCCCATGCCCATGTAGGATATGTATATATATATATATATGTCTTGTATAAAAAATATATATATATATATATATGTATATATTACATATATACATATTCATATATACATATATATATATATGTCAGAAGGAGACTCCAGGGACATGAAACTTCAGGCGCCAAGATGCGCAACTTTGTGAGGCCGCTAGCTGAAACTGCTTGAGACCCGCTTCGATGCACTTTGCCAAAACCCGCAAAAGCGCCCGCAAAGACCCGCGTTTCAATGCCCTGCGAAAACTCGCACAGCGCCCGCAAAAATCCCCAAAGCTCCTTCCTTTTCCGCTTTTCGGGGTAAAACCAGATGTGAGACGTGGGCAAATCAGCCTCTGGTGCGGGCAAGTCCACAAATTTGTGGGGGGGCTACTTGAACACATCAGCCTGGGGAGATGCCCAGGCCTCGCCCAAATTCATGGGCCTGGGGGTTGAGTTCAGATTATCAGGTCCCTCAGCAATTGGTGCCCTTTCTCACCAAGTCTTTTAGTCTAACTTTTTTTTGGGGCAGGGTTCCCCTACTAAAATAGACTACAGCAAAAAATCGGATCTAACCTCTCCACTGGAGGACCTAGGATCTGAGAAACGAGCGGGCAGATTGATAAGGATGTTCAGCAGGATGTGCGCATGAGCAGGTGTCAGTGCAACGGAGCGTTTTCGGGGAAGGGCACGAGGGGCAAAGAGGAACATGGCACAACCAGATTTACTGAAGCTCGCCTAGATTCTCCCAAAGAAGCGACGAGGAATCCATCAGAACGCCACTTCAAAACCGAAAAAGCAAAGGAATCTGGGGTAGACTCAGGATGCATTTTACATTTTACCAGCGACTCAAAGTGAAGCAAACAATGAAATGTACCCCCTACTCCAAATACCCATTTGTTTAATGGTATTTTTTAGAAACCTGGGTTTTTATGATAAATACATCCTTTTTTAGTAGAGGGTCGACATCATACCCTAAAAACAAGGGTATTTGGAGCAGGGGGTACATTCTATAACTGGTTGCCTAACTCTCATGGAATGTCCAGGTACCTCGTTTCTGAGGCTTTGAGAAAATGTATTTGCCCCAGGTCTCAGTCCAAGCCACCCATTTAGGGTGACTACCCATGGTTGTTGTTGGGAAACGCTTGTTACATTTTTGCTTATTGTGGTTGAGTGGTTGAAAAAGTGAATCACTTAACTGGTAAAATTGAAAAACTGTGGTTGGAGCTTGCGTGTTCGAAGTTTTCAGGCTTTTTGAAGCTTTTTGAGGTTTGAAGTTTGGGCCTCACCTTTCTGACGTTGCAAGGGGACGTTGGGTGACGTAACGAGGCTCCCGCCAGGACCGCCACCTCCGCGCCCGCGCCTCGCCCCAATTTTCCGCGAGGCTCGCCGCCTGCCGCGTGGGATGCGCGAAGCCAAGCCGAGCCCCAGCGAGAAGCCGAGCGGAGACCGAGACGGCGCCCTGCCGTGGGATCGAGGGTGCCGAGGATCGAGGCGCCACCGTCCACTCCCCATTTTTTTTTGCACAAAACCAGCCTGGACACGAAGAGAAGAACTTTTTTCGGGAAAAAAAGGTTCTCGAACTGTTCAATTTGTTTGGGGGACTTGTTTAAAAATGGGTTGAAGATCCCTGGACTCCAAGAGAACCTGAAAAAAAGATAGGGGGTTATACCTGGAGTCTCCTTCTGACAATGTACTGAAGTCCCCTGATGTTGTTTTCCAGTGATAGTTTCCTTTTAAAACCATCAGGGGAACATACCTGGACCCCCCATTTTGCACACCAACGACCTGGGCCAGAAGGGAAGAACGTTTTGGAATGTTGGTTCAGGCAGCTGTTTTCGGATGTCAACCCTTTTCCGGTTGGAGTTGTACTTAACTATCCTGCAGAACCTGCATGACAACCCTCAAAAATGGAACGTCACCAACCGTATGTTTGGGGCAACAGCTCGGTTCTAAGAGTTCTGCAACAGACTTAGTCAAGATTGTTGGTTGCTGTGTCCGGATGTGGGTCGCCCAAGGGAGTCATGTTCTGTGCCAAGGGAATCTTCAAAGTATGAAGTGATGGGAATCCACCACTTGGGTTTGAGATTTCGGGTGCTTTTCACATCGCTGGGTGCCAACATGGACCCAAATTCCCAGACTCCACAAAAAGGGTTCCAATAATTTTATGGGCAAAAAGTCAGCTGTCAGACGAAATATGAAGCCGCTGACCAGGCTTACTTGGGAGTTTTCACTCCAAATGCCAGTGACTTATCATGTCAACCCCTGAATAAAAGAGGAGGTATTTACTATTTACCATGGTATTCAACAAAACCCCTGAAACAAGTGCGTATTTGGAGTAGGGAGATTCTCAAAAAGGACCCGCTTTGGCTTGTGGAAACCATAGGGCACCGATTCCTTACTGGAATCTTCGTCGGTCGATCCAGTCAGGACCCCTAGTTCCACTCATATTTGTGCCACCTGGAGCCCGGATCCAAAGCAACCACTTGGATCGATCCAGGTGGCTTTTTCGCTTTTATCCATGCACTCAACATCCAACAACCGATCGCAGTGACTGAAAAAGAGCGATCGCAACTTGGCGATGGCAGGTTGGGAAGGAAAGAAACTGGTCGTTCAGGTCCAGGTGGCTGCCGATCTGCGGCAGCAAAGAATAACTAAGAATAGGGTGGATACTGAGACAGCCCAGTGGTTCCGTGCAGGTAGGGTAGAAAGACCCATGTGCGAGGAAAATCGGGGATGGTAAGCCCTTTAGATTGCAGACCAGCAGAGAAACCATCAGAATGGTTCCTGTTAAGGGAGCCATTTTATATACGCTTCACCCTTTTCACATGGAACCGGAGAATTCGGGAAGAGTCTGCACGATCCTTTAAAAATGGGTCAATGACCCCATTAGTTTTGGGGAGTCCGACCAACCATTTTTCAAGGGCCATGGAGACTCCAGCTATAATTGGGGAGTGATAGGTCTAGGATATGATTATCTTCTTTGCAGTCTTTGATTTATTTCCCTTTGGTTACCTTTCTATGTCTTATCTCATGGATGTTCCTTTTTAAAGGGACCATTTCTCTGTCAGGTTCCGTGTGGGATCACGGTGGAGGGTAAGGAGTTGTGAGCATGTCACCAGAACCCTCAAAATTCCAACTTGAACATGGGTCAAAGCCCCATATCTTCGGGCTGCCCCAAAATTGCTTCCATTTGCTCAAGATTTGTTTTCCCCTTCTTGGTTTTGACAGGAATTTGTCACTACTGGACATATTTCCTTTTCCCGGGGGTCTTAACCAGATGGAAGATTCTGGTTGGTGAATCTCCTCATTTTTTCCGGGTACCCGTCTCCTGACCCCAAGAAAGGGGTGAATTGACCCATGTCTCTCAATTTTTGGTCGTCTGACCCTCATGTTTAAGGGTGAGAAGGAGGATCTACCTAGAGTCTCCATGACCCTTTAAAAATGGGGTCATTGCCCTAAATAATGATTCGGGTCATGGACCTATTTTTAAAGGGTCATGGAGACTCCAGGTAGAGGTAGATTCTCTCAGGGTTTCCTTCCAGGTTTTACATCCGGTTCCCTGGGTTACCTAGCGAAATGGACACCGGGATACTGGAGAAAAGGCGACCTCGACTTGGCGATTTCTAGGCGGTTTCTGAAGATTCCCCTGTAAATACCAAGAAACCAAATGGAAGATGATGGTTGGTGAATGTCTCTTCCATTCTCTTCCTTTTTTTTCTGGGTCGTTCGAAGGTCCCGTTTGTCTGGTTCGCGCATTTTTTCGCTCGCTTCAGGCTGACGGCCGGCGAGTGGGCCGCGCGAGGGCGGAGGTCGAATGAGCGCGCGGAGGAAATCCAATGCCGCTGACGGTTTTCATGTTGGTTTCTTGTACAGCCCACTTTGAGCGGATCTGACAGCCCAGACAAGGGCCTTCGTGCGGTGTTTTTCCTTCGCTCGTGGCGCACTCGACGCTGTCTCGTACGTCTCAAACTTCAGCGGCTTGGCCCATGCGAATCCTGGGGATGGATTCACAAGCTTGATCTGTCTGCCTCAAAGTTATTTGGCTTCAAAACTGGTTGACGTGAGTTCGTGAGTTGTCAGCCGACGTCAAAATGCTTGGTGGATCTCGATCCGTGTTGGGTATGGGTATAAGGTTTTTCCCGAATCAGTCACTCACTCCCTGAGTTCCGTTTCGGACTTTAAACTTCTTGGGAAGGCCACGCTGGTAAAAAGAGGCTTGGTGACTTGTCCCACAAGCCACTCAGAGGAACGGATTTTCCAGCAGGGTTGTCTGTGGAAGGCGACGTCAGATCTGACTCAAGGTTCCGAAATCGGGGGTCGTGTTCTTACTTTCGCTCGGAAAAAGATATTGATTCGCAGGCTCACCCACTGTTTTGTGTTTGTTTGTTTTGATGTGTTTTGATTTTGTGTTTACCTAGAGTCTCCATGACCCTTTAAAAATGGGGTCATTGCCCTAATAATGGGGTCATGGACCTATTTTTAAAGGGTCATGGAGACTCCAGGTATGTATTTGTTGGGGGCTCCAATTCGATTGATTTAGGTCTCAAGCAGCCAGGTTCTGAGACTCAGCGCCGGTTTGGGTGTCGTATAGAGGGGTCGCGCGTGTCTTATTTCATGAGTCATTGTACATAAGCATCAGAAAGGACACCTTGAAAGTGGCTTTTGGATGTGAATCGGATTGCCTCTCAAGATGTTGATTGCTGGAGATTCCCTCATACTACCCATTAAAGGGGAACTGACCCCGTTTAGCAGGGTATGTTGGGGGGATGAAACAGAGACAAAAGAGATGCCAAAATGAAAAGTGAACCATTATAGTTCCAATACCAATGTATTTATCATTTCCGGTCTTCATTGTTGAGTCGGGGAAATTCCATGAGATAAGAAATAGAAAGGTAACCAAAAGGAAATAGATCAAAGAAGAAGATAGACAGATGAAATGAAAGACTGCAAAGAAAACAGCTCATATCCTAGCCCCTTCACTCCCCAATAATAAATGTATTATTCTTTTCCAGGCAGTGTTATTTGTTCTCATCTCGCCTTCGAATTGGCTGGATGGTTTTTTATTCCTTAGCTTGTTTTGAACGATGTGTGGGGAAGCCCCGCTTTGGATGTTCATTGCCAAGTTAGTAAGTCGCCAACGCCACCAGCCCATGTTTTGGGTTTCAACCAACGTTGGAGCAGTAGGGCCCAGGCAGATGGTCGCAGCGTTCCATCCCAGGATCAGTTTTCTGATCTTGGTGGAATCAAACTTTTGGCTCGGATCCGCACGTCACGATTCGGATTCCGGCTCAGCGGCTCCCTCTTCAGGTGCTGCTTTCAATTCGTTGGCTCGTGGCCACTCCTGGAAAAACTAGAAACTTGAGATGTCCATCTGCATTCCATTTGCTTGTTTTACGCTTTTGGGTGTTAACCAGTGTGGTGAAATCCAGTTTGAGGGTCCAGGTATCTCCCCCGTTTCGTTTAGAGTTTGAGTCTATCACTACTGAACATGTTGTTGTTGTTTTCGAGGGGGTGTAACCAAATGGAAGATTCAGGGTGTCAAATTTTGACTCCCAGGGTAGACTGAAACCCATGGTTCATCCCCCCCCCCCGAAAGAATGCGGGACCATCTTGGGGTCATTACGTGGAACCCTGCTTTTGCCCTTGACAACACTGATGAGCAAAGCCCATTCACTAATCCCACGCAGGTGTAAAAAGGCTGACCAGGAGAATTCTCGGGCCCCTTGCCGAATTCAAGAGGTCGTGATCCAGTTTCTTGAAATAACGCCTCCCCCCCCAAAAAAAATGTGTGTCCGCAAGTATGGTAGTTTGGCCTGGGTTTGTTAGTGGGTACCTTCCCACTTGGCCTGGCTTCAAATCTTCAAATCTTCAAGTGAGTTATGGCAACCCAAAAAGAATGGGATGGAATCAAGCATTTGTTTGCAAGCAACAGGCTCAAAACCAGTTTAATTTGTTTGCACCCTCTAGTTTTCAAGCATAGGTGTCCTTGTTGGTTGTTTTGCTCGAAAAATCGATGGCCTGGTGAAGAGAAATCATCTACCAGGGATATCCATCTATTCCCCCTAAAAGGACACCTACTGTGGATGGACGAAATCCTGCACCACCCAAGAGGCCCTGGAGGGATAATGCCCCTGTAAATACCAAAAAACAACGATGTCCCATGGTTTCCAACTGGTGCGAACGGATTTCAAGGTTCTTGGAGTAGGGAAGGTTCGGGATCTATACGTCTTTCTCTCGCTCCGAAGTGGCCACTTGTAGAAGGACCAGCGCACCCAACCAGAAAACGGGTATGCCTTTTTGTCGCATCTTTCGGCCAAGGAGGGCGTGCGGAAGCGGAGACTTCAGTGCCGTGATTTCCGAAAACGTACCTGGAGTCTCCATGACTTTTAAAAAATGGGTCCATGACCCCATTATTTTTGGCAATGACCCCATTTGTTTAGGGTTTTGGAGACTCCAGGTAGTAGGTAACCAAGTGAACCAGCCTTCCAAAACCCCGGAAAATTGCTCCTGGGTGACAACTACGGTCCACTGGGCATTCGATTTACAATCTATCCTTTAACCTTTGACTATTGAAATCAGTTTTTAACTCTTGGCTTGCCCGAACTTGAGCTGGTAGACCAAACGAACCCTTGAGGTGAAGCTTTGGATTTTCATGAAATCAACCTTTGGTTGCTGAATTGAGATGGTGCCGTGGTTTGACGTTAACGGTCGACCTTTGGGTCTTTGGCGGGGACTACGAAGCCCACAAACAAAAGCTCTTACCCGTAAGCTCCGGCCATACCTAGCATCGTTCTTGGTATTGTTTGGAGAAACAAGTTGTCTTTTTCAGGGTAAATGCCGACCCCTTCTTTTCGTGAAAGCTTGACGTCATACCAATTGAAGAATGGGTAAGTATTGTGCGTGCCGAGAACAGCAACATGGTTGGAATCAAGCCCAAGCATCAGATTTCGGGGATCCATTCCCAGTGAACCCATTTACAACTTCTAGTAGGCAACCAAGGGAGCCAGCCATTGAAAGCTAAAAGTCTAAAAGGAATCATGGTTTGCCTATGCAGGCAAGACCGGGATCGACCGGGATTGGTTCGGGGGTCAAAGCGACCCCCATGTTGGATTATGTGCATCAAAAAGTTCGCGTTTTTTTTGTTCAGGGCGCGTTTGAGTAGCCACAAAGTCTCGACTTGCCAGACGATTCGTTTTTGTGAAGGTTTTTGGTTGGGTGAGTTGTTTAGGAATCGGACTGCCCAAATTGGCTTTGTTGTCGTTTTGGTTACCACCAACTCTAAAATAGACACACCCATATGAGGCTTGCTTCGACCCATTTGACGCATCGGGCCTGAACCACTTAGTGCATCGACGTGGCTGAATTTCTCACTTGAGCAGATGGCCCCAAAAAGTCCACGAACTGTTGTTTACCTGGAGTCTCCTTTTGACCCTTAAATAAATGGTGGGTCAGACTCCCCAAAATAATGGGGTGGACCCATTTTTTAAGGGGAAGGAGAGTCTACCTAGAGTCTCCATGACCCTTTAAAAATGGGTTCATTGCCCTTAAACCTATTTTGAAAGGGTCATGGAGACTCCAGGTAGGTACCAGTAAGATGGTCGTCCCGAAAAGTTTAAAGTCCAAGAGCTCGCAAGGTGAGATTTTGACCAATACCCGAGCAGTTTGATACCAGCAGTTGAGTTTCGGGAGCCCAGAGGGTCTTGGGTACTTACAGGTTTGGGATTGGTTCAAGGGGATTCGTCAATTATAGATTCCTCAAATCCGCAAATATGAGGTACTTGGACCCCCCCGAACTCAGGCCCAAAGTGGTTAAGCAATTGTCAAGGCCCTTTAACCGAAGAGTCTGCCCTCAAAAAGGCCGTGGGAGTTTTCGTTCGGGGGAATCTGGGTTATGCCAAGCCCATACTGCATGGCCCTGGCAACCGGACATCGGAGACCTGTTTGGCGCATAAAGCGTTGCCACCAGGCCGAGGTTTTACTTTGTGATGTGTTCGAGCGGATCTCGGACAGTTCCGCCCCTTTTTGAAGGCCCAAGATGCGGGTTACAATGTTTTACCATGGACACTGCCAGGGTCAAAGGGATGGCCGTTCCCTCCTAAGGTTACAAAGGCTCATTGTGGGTTGCCGTTCTCTCCTCTTTGTAAGGTTCCTAAGGCTCATTTGAGTGGGTGGCAGCCTGGATTTCTAACAACTTCCTGACATGTATGGGGTAAATTTCCTTTTTAAAGGGTATGGCTTGAGGGTTCAGGTTGCTCATCTTAGGCTATGGAAGAGACTCAGAGAATCCGATTCTGTTTTGGTGTGTAGAGGTGCACACGTGCCAAGTTCCACTTCCATTTGCTGAAACGTGGCATGTTGTGTTTTCTCTTGCAGGTTTCCGAGCTGGAATCGATTCCACTACTGGACATATATATATATATACATACATGTGGTCAGCCTTTATTCTAAAATCCACCTTCCATGTCCGAATTCTTTCCGATCCGACTCTTTCCGGAGACACAATTCAAAGAAACGGATCTGGTGTTTGGAAAGCATGGCTGAAAAGAATGGACAGGAAATCAACCCCTTGGAGTCGCCTTCTGACCCTTAAATAAATGGTGGGTCAGACTCCCCAAAATAATGGGGTGACCCATTTTGTAAGGGTCAGTAGGAGAGTTTACCTAGAGTCTCCATGACCCTTAAAAAATGGTTGGCCATCACCCCAAAAACAAAGGGTCGTGGGCCAATGTTTATTTCGGGTCAGAAGGAGACTCCAGGCAGGTCTAGTGATCAGGGTCATGTCGATCATCTGAAAGCGCCAAGCCGTTGAGAGAGTCAC